GCCAATTAGGACGCGTTGCCATGTATACGCTAGTAAAATACGCTAATTGTGCTTCCCGGACGGACGAGGGGATAGTACAAATTATGAACCAAGGAAGCCAAACAGTTGTGCAGTGCCAGCTGGTTTAGGGCTGAGCAAAGGAATGGTGTTTCCAACTCACTTGGCCTAGTTGTCTCAGGATCCAGGACCAATTTACACTTAAGCGCGCACGAAATACTGGGGTGGCCAGTAGTACTCAGCTTAGTTGATTTTATATCGAAATCACCTTTTGCCAAGATCTCAACACACGCCGGTGGGATATGGTTGCATGTCAAAAGAATTCCTTTCTAGATGCGTACCGGATAGGAGCGGCTTCTCTGATAGAATGTAACCTTCCGCCAGGGTCTCTTTCCATGTCGAGCGACGTTGAGGAGAGATTTAGATAGCCTCGACTTGAATGGCCTGCCGGTATGAAGCCGATGAGGGTATAAAGAGGCCCATATGCCTTCTTAGAACTCCCTCAGGACACAAGCAATTTTCCCTCTCTTGTCTTTTTTCTATTGTTTCTTTGTCAATCTTGCAAATCCCCTGCCATACCTATCACAATGAGGACTGCCGCACTTCTTTCAGCTCTTACAGCTTTCCTTGCTGTGGCTGTAAGTGGTCGACCTGCACAATCTTCCACCGGCATTGAAGCACCCGTGGAAGGATACGGAGTAGAAGACTTCGCCTGGGAAGTCGAGACTACACCCGGGGGTGACACGGTTATCCTGAACGGTACAGTCGAGGAGGTCTATACCGAACTTCTCAAGATCAACCCGATGTACGATGGTGACTTTGCCGCGGTGGCTGAGACCAACGACGCCGAAAAGCGGGACGACTCGGCGTCCTTGTTCAAGCGTAAAGATGTGACCTGCGGCAAATACCCAACTGCCATCAGAAGACGAATTGAAGAGGGTATTGCCCATCTGCACCGTGTCAAGGGAAAGCCTAGAAACGGTCCTGGACCTGGAAACTGTGGTCGAGTGAGTTGCTCCTACAGATCGGCTATCTGGTGGTGCAACGACGTAAGTGACATTATTGCCCGTTAGATCATAATGGAGGGCCTAACGACAATACAGAACACCGCTCCCAAGACACTCCCCGGTTTCTACAACATTGCTCAGGGTGCTCAGGTGGTGATCAATCAGTGCAACCCAACCGGTGTCTATGTTTCTGGCGAAGAGAACCATGCCGACAAGTGGAGAGCACTTGTCCGTGGCAGCGATTGCTAGGCGGGTCAACAGGAATTGAAGTCAGAGTTGATTGGCATTGAATTTCGCTGGAACAGGAATTTCACCTTTGAATGTAGTGGTATTTGTGCTCAGATAGGAGGGGCGGGGTAGATTCGGCGATTTTCAACAAATCAGTCTCCCGCCTCTCGGTTAAAGTACATGATTTGAAAGGTTTTTCTAGCATAAAATTCCAAGACATGAGTGAATCCGTAGCCAATGTAGACAATTAATTTTTAAATTGGCCTTCTAGACCGCACGAGTCAATCAATCAATCAATCAAAATTCTATTAACCTGATGAAGCCTATCTATTGAAACGACAGGCTATGCAGGCGCTTCGCCGAATGAAGCAGAATCTCGAGCCCTTACGCCATATAAACCCACAAACGCAATAGATAAATTATAAAGTAACGCAACTACACCGGCTGCCACTCGCCTGCTGCAGTCCATTACGTCTCCTGACGCTGTCTCTCCTTCCGCCTCGTTCTATATAGGTAATTCATGAGTGGTATGCGTCACTGGTAGCGGCCTGACATAGGCCGCCTCCTAAGGTTCCATGTAACTATCGTCTTCCTCGCCTAGTTCGAGTCCTTCTAGCAGGTTGGTAGGTTCTGGAGCCTCTTCCTCGTCCTCCTCGTCCAGTTGAGCGAATCGGAATTGTTGGAGGAGGCCTGTTTGATGCATAAATTGGGCGACGTAACGGATCGCCTGTAGGTATACCATAACTGCGTTGTAGTCCTGTATGCGCTCACGCAGTCCCTCTATCTGATTGAGATGATCCATTATTATCCTCCGGCCGGCCGTGTGCAGCGAGCATTTCAGAAGGACGTACCTAGGGGTCTGGGACCCTAGGTCACAGGCGCACCGGTCGGAGTCGACCTGTTTGATCTTGTAGAGGAAGTGCCTTAATCCTATCCTCATAGTGCGCATTTGAATGATAATCGAGGTGTGCGGCTTACTGAAATACTCGTAGAGCCGTAGATTCGACTAACAGGCAGACCATTGATCTGCTTACCAAGGATACTGCTCAACGGAGCAAATTACGCCATGTTGATATCAACAGATCATGGCTTCGACAAGAGGTTCAAGAAGGGAGATTTCAAGTCAAATGGATTCCTACCAACCAAATGACTGCAGATGGGTTCACGAAGGCTCTCCCAGTTCAAAAACACCGAGAATTTGTGAAGATGCTCAATTTGGTCAACATCAAGGATCTTATTCATGACTAAATGGGTATATGCAGCGCTCAATTTCAACATTGACCGCTGAGAGGGTGTGTCAACCGTATGTGACCGCTAGTTACATAGGAGACCTTCCTATTCCGGATATCGGAATTGGTAACTACCGATTCCCGAGGATTATGCAGAATTTTCTGTTATTTCCATGGTTCAAAAGTTATATCTCTTTCAGCTGCCTTTTTAGGCTAGATTGCTTATTATTCTTTATGTATTTAAACCATCGTTTGCAGCTAGATTGAAAGAATCAGACCTTCATCATTCGATATTCCTATGGGTAACATTACTAGCAATTACGCCTAGAGAGACGGCCAACAGTAATTATTGTAGGATCTCTAGAAAAAACTTATAAGCTTCTTACTAATAGAATCCGTTTTAATTAAATCTGATACCGAGCAGAACAGTCCTAGAAAATAGAACTAAATACAGTCTATTTTTGATACTGTAATCTAGATTACTGAAACTTTAGAGTCTACAAAGATTGAAGATCTTATTATTTTATATATGCGGACTCTTACGAAAGAGCAGAGTATATATGTAAAGTAATAAATTATATAATAAGATTAAAAACTATTTACTAGCATATATTAGTGTTGGAACGATGTTATCAACCAGACCAGAGAAGTGGAGTATCTTGACCTAATCTACATACCGCACAGCACCTTGCTTGGCCTAGACTTGGCCTACCATTCCAAATGGCATACCAAGGGATCAGGAATGCATAGGTGTAAACAAGTGGAACTATAAATAGCTAGGCAGATTGTAGCTTAGAATGACACTTCACTTTTACCCACCGAGCATATACCTATATTCAGTTGAATCGATAGGATATCTGCTTAGGGCAATGACCAAGTCAACCGACAATTAGCGAAATGTAAAAATTACTAGAACTCGCATATAGTTATTACAGAAAATTGTCTAGCAAAACGAGCAGCCAGAAAACAGAAAAGAAAAAGAAAAGCTCAAAGAGATAATCTAAAATAATATTACACTTAAGCTAGCTAAAGCTTACAGAGGCTAGCTGTTACAGAAATTAATAAAAATTAACAGTCTAAGCAAATAAGAAGCAGTTCAATATCGGCCAATTCGCGAACTCTAATAGGAAGAGAAATTTAGTTGATACAAATCCTAATAGTCAGCCGCAAGAATAATATAGATATAAAAGAGAATAAAAAATCCTAGAGACTTACTACAGAACTGAATAGCTTTTGATGTTAGTAATAGAGTATAACTACCGCAAGACATACCCAGTCACAATTGCGGCACTAGAAGCAAGGCTAGAGCTAGAGGTAAATCTAGCATACCTATAGAAACTCTATATTGATACAGACTTTCGATACGGGATATATCAAATATTAGACCTCGCCACGACCCGCGGGTCTACCCAAACGGGGTACCCATTACCCGTTTCTTGGCGGGTAATGGGTAGGGTTCGCCTACCCGCGTGTGGGTAGTGGGTAGCTGGGTAATACCCGTGAGTAGTTTTTGGGTACCCGCGGGTAGTTAAATAATGCAAACAGGTAGAATCCCGTGACTTGCATATTTTGTGTATATTCGAACTGTAATTTTAAGTATTTTATATATAACTACTAACTAGTCAAGACTCAAGATTTCTCGGGTATTAAATGAGTTAAAACAGGATTAATTCTATAGCTAATATTTAATAAACTGATCATCATCCCGTCTTCGCTTCCGATTTCTACCTGAAATCCGCTGTTGAGTCTCTAGGAAGGGATTTATAGCTTTATCGTCGGATAATGAAATTTCATGAGAAAGGGCTTAGATAGTATCCTGTTCTTACGTAATCTCTGTATTCTCCTCTTCGTTATCACTAATAGAATCAATATCCTGTAGTAACTGAAGATTTTTCTCTTCTCTCTTTGCCTCGATTTTTCCGCTTGTGAGGTAATCCTTCTTGAGAGTAAGATTTTCATTTTCGACCTCGAATTGTGTTGTAAACCTATATATCATGAACTCCTGGATCGTTTCGGACCTCAGTGAGCCTCGACAGTAGTAACAGATATCCCGAGCAGAGTTAAAGAGACGTTTAATACCTGTACCTGTAGCAGGAATTGTAAGAACGTTACGTGCGAGACTTGCGAGTGCAAAAAATTTACATTAATAGTCTTTCCAGAATGCCCGAATAGTTACTCCGCTAATAGTACCTAAATATTCATTAATAAGGTATATAAATGGCAAAAGTAATACTGACTAGAGTCAAAATATCTCGTAAACTCGTCTCGCTCGGCTAGGTTTGCTTGCTGAGTGTCACGGACTGTGACCTGCCTCCGAGGACCTTCCTCGCGATACCCTATAACCTAACTCCCCGATAGGGACTAGCGTCAGAGCTGTCACACATATCGCAGCCAGCTCCTGAATAGCTTCATAGCTTAGCTTAGTTTCCTCGTCAAATACATACCCTACATTCTCACGATTCCCTATCGTCAGTGTAGCCGTTCGTTACACTGAGATTTAGACTCTTTGAGCATCCGCTCAAGATTAAACTCTAAAGTTTGCGTTATAGATATATAAGTCTCTGATAATGTCTGGTTCTGTAATAGACGCTACTTATAAGGCTCGAAATAATTTACGAAACTCTAACGATATCGATCACGCCACTCGTCGTCCTAATCTTTTTCTGAAAAGAACTGGAGCTTGTTTTGCGGCGCAAACATTGTTCCAATAGCAAAGAGATTGCCAGGAACGTTATCTGTCTTACTGTAATATTGGAAAAGCTTCGTTTTCGCTATATAAAACGCGTTTAGCATTACTTTCTTTCAAGTTACCTTTTTGTATCTAAGCTGATTGATAGATCTTTTAAGGTAGCTAAAAAGCTTATTATAGATACTAAAGATAAGGTGTACTGTAACATCCTTTATCTTTGAAAACGCATTCGTGAATTGGAAGAAAGGTTAAATAATATAAAGGAGGTAATCGATCTGACGCCATTGCTTTTGATTAAATTTTAAATGCAAATATTTATATTTAGTGCAGAACTTATCGAATATAGACTGTAGGCGTTTCGTACGTCGGAGCATAAGAAAGGTCGAGTTCTAGCGTGTCTTAACGTCTTGAATTGGCACAAGGAATATTAATGTAATTTGAAGCTTGCAGAATAGCTTTAGGCGTTAAGGGCTCGCGTTAACGAAAATAGCTAAACCCCGTACCTATATATAATTGAATAAGTGAATAGGCTCTCATTATATCAAAGCTATAGACTGACCTTGTTAAGTGTATTAACGATCTCTCGTTTTTGCTGTTTTGAGCAAATCAATTGATCCTGTGTTTTAGACTACTGCATTTTAGCTGTATCATTCTTCGGATTTGCTTTTATTTGCCTGAAAAGCTGCTTAAGACTGAGTTAAATGATGTAAGCGAAGCAGAGAACTTTAATAATTATAATGCGATCGCCAATTTCAAGAGACTGGATAGAATCCTGGATACTCGACAACATAGTGCTGTTGTTTGATGCATTATCAGTAGTAATTGCAAGCACTTTATCTGTAATTTAGTATTTCTGAAGTAGTTCAAGAAGAACGGCACTAAAATTGACTCCTGAGTGTGTCCCATGTAGCGGTTTAAAATCAAGAAATATTTTCCGGTAATTTCAGTCCTCGTCGAGGAAGTAACTAATAACTGCTATAAACGTTTACTGGAAGGGAGACGTCTAGCAGTTTAGAGCCACTGATAGTTTTCCATCCTTTAATAGCTTCTGGAAAACACTATTCTGACGTTCGGTAATAGTGTCTTGAAGTCGACATCAAATTGTCTTTAGAGATGGGATTTGTGGACGCCCTGGGGCACGAGAGGCCATATAAATTAAATGATGAAAGTCGGGATATTCGAGGATTTAGAATGGTAGCCGAGAATTAGTGATAAAACGGAGTAAACTTGCTTCCCAGGCCTCTTGAGTGAAACTAAGGCTATCTGAAGGAGGTGTGGCCTAGTAAAAAGAAAGGTATTAGTTAAATAATTTTTTATAATATATGAGAATACTACCTCTTGGAGAAATTGCCTAATATTAGGCCTATTTTGGTTACGATACCCAATCCCTTTTAAATGCTTGATTATTGCTGTAGTACCATTTCTATGCTGCTGTAAGTGATCAAGCACTTTCTTGTATCGTTTACACATAACTTTCGGCACTCTATCGTTAGCTTTAGTTACTTAGTTAAAGTGTTTCCAAACGTCAGACTGCTGCCGAGCATCCCAATGTATCCGTTTTTTTTGTCCGAAGTCAGTCTGGAGCCACCAGCTCACAAAATCGTCCTTTGTTATGTCGGAATAAATAAGGTACGTCGAAATTCGGTCAGGGCAGACACGCTCGAAGGAGAGAGATATGGAGGCGGGAATAGGTAGACGAGTAAAATCTGAATTAGCGATTGATTGTGACGCTTACTGGCTAAACAAAAGGTTGGAGGTAAGGTCGTCTGGTTAAATAACCTAAAGGCTATCTGGATTGTCAGTATTATATAAGGATGATACATACGCGTCAGAAAACTGGAAGAATTGAGACATTATAGTAAAAGAAACAAGGCCAGGCCGGTAATGTAGAGTCATATAATAAAGCAAATACTTACTGCAGTAAATTTTGCGACTGGTAACTTTAGATTTGGGGACTCTAGATACCCTGAGCTGTAATAACATACGAATAAATGACTCACTATATCAGTGATAAGCTATTCTAATTGGTAAGTTCTACGGGTTACTCGCGGGTATTCCGTGGACTACCCGCGGGTAGATGGGTACCCTACGGGTAGTCCACAGGGTACCCGTCTCACTTTAACAATTTTTTTTATGTTTAAGTCCTATCGATTCCCGACGAGATCTAATAATTTAAGCCTCTTTCACGCATATTATAGGCATATAAGGTCAATAGAAGGGTAATTTAAAGATAGAAACAGAATGTACAATTCAATTTATCAATGTTCTGGTATAATTAACTAATATAAGACTATATAAGAGGATAAAGATAGTCTTTATAAAAAAATACACTTACTTCTCTCGAGTATCAAAATATATTTTAGACACTCGACAAGGCATTTCCTATAATACTACCTAAAACTATCCCTACTTTAGTATATAATCGATCAAAAATAAACACATTCTACTATTACTGGAGCTTCTGATAATGTTTTCGAACTTTGATACTTAATTTACGTAGATATTGTAGTTATATCGCGTCATGAACTGAAGGGTAACCAGAACAGGTGTTAAAATCAGTATTTTAACCAGGAGAGTAAACAGTTTTATGCGGTTTGGCACATCCAAAAGGGGTTAGTTATGCATTTTTGGGTAGTTCACGGGTACTCCGCGGGGTACCCATGGTGGGTAGTGGGTAGGGGGGTCATGGGTAATGGGTAGGACTCGTCTACCTGTTCCACGGGTCTGGAACCATAATGCCTACCCGTGGAAGTTCCATGCCGAGGTCTATCAAATATACTGGCCAGAGGCTGGTAAACGCAAAAAGTAGAGAGAGACAATTACTGTCTACTAAGATCTTCTTAATAGGCTAATTATAGAGGCCTGCACGGATCTAATAAACTATCCTTATCTGATGGCCCTAGATATCTGAGAGCTAGATAGGAACAAAAAGACCCGAAAAACCCGGATAGTTAATTGCTATAATAATTGGGTTAATAAGAACTACTGCTGGCAAGGGATCAACAAGAGTTAAAAAAGAGCGATAGAAGATATTCAGTAAAACCAAGTTTTAAAAAAAAGATGTCTAGTACTAGAGGAATTCAATGCGCATAGCTCTCTATAGAATCCCTAAGTAAGTTTGGAATGTGGATTCGAGGGGGGAGGTGCAGTGACTTACTTAGTCGCTGCCCATCTCTCAACAATCAATCAACAGGAGATATCAACAAGACGAGGAAATCTAGGAGAGTTTAGTTGCGTTCTGCGGACTTAAAAGTCTCCAGTAAACGACATATTGGGGCAGCACAAATAAACGTGGCGCAATCTGCCCTGCGCAACTGGAGCGAGAGAATAGAGAAAAGAAAGCTGTTACATGTCAATACGAGGAACTATCTACCACGGGGATGTAGTGGACAGCAAAACAAGCGTTGTCCCCCAGTACAGACGTAGCCAATCGCCACCGCTGAGCAGCCAGGTACCTGGCTCAAAGCAGAATCTCGCGCACTACTACCTGGCCCAACGCTACCGATCCTCCAGCCACCTCGAGGGAAAGACCATCAGCCGAGACGTCAGGGAAGATCAAGTTCGAAATCACAACCTCGCCCTGTCCTCCGAATACCTCGATAGCGGACACATCAACCAAGACACGCAAGTGGACCTCTCCATTCGCAGCAGGCTTCACAGTCGCAGTGTGGACGCCGCCCGCGGCAGAGTTATATGACGTATTCCCGCTCGCGTTGCGATCGACCGAGAGCTGGCTGGAGCTCTGCGCGTACCTGATAAGGGTCTGTTGCGAACCTGATTTTCTAACGGCCAGAGTGAGTGTGGAGCCGGGGGAGGGTGTAAAGGTCATTTCGATATCCAGTGTCCTGGCGCGGATGTTGGAGAGCAATGTCTGTCTCGGGGCGATGTTTTGATTCTTGATCTGCGCAAGGGGCCACGCGTAGTTATTGATCTCATCCACGGGCTGCTGCCGGAATCGCAGCTTGCCGTTGACCTGCTGGAGCTCCAGTGTGCGGGGGAACGACAGAATGCCCTTGTAGGTATTTGTTGGAGGGTCTCCACCATAACTATTCATGATGGAGGCAAGAATGACACGACCATCGCTCGCGGGAACATTCTCCCACATAAGCGCCCCGTCCCAGTCGCGACCGTAGTCGAGCCAGAATGCGCCGGGGCTGAGGTCAACGGGATCCGCTGTAAAGACTGCACCGTTGAAAGACCCAGTGACTGCAAAGACGCCGTTGCCGCCAGCGGGTGAACCATCCGCAGGGGTGACTATCATCACCCATTTCTTCTGCGTTGTGCCTTGGATAGTGAGCTCGAAGAAGTCCGGAACCTCCCACTTGACTCCGCCTGGTAGGTTGGGGATGTTACTAGCAGTGAAGTCGCTTCTCCAGGTCCAGTCCAGTGCATTAGGGGATGTCCAGAAGGTCACTTTATTCTGGCCGCCGTGTGCGAGGATCATGACCCACCTGTTCGATGGCTTATGGAAGAAGACCTTGGGATCCCGGGTTTCCAGACCCTTGGTGCTATCATGCGGCTCTTCCTGGGCTTTCGAGATGATGGGATTGCCCGCATATTTGATCCATGTAACACCCTGGTCGAGACTATACGCCAGCCGCTGATCCTGCACCCCCGTCGAGGGGAAGTATCCCGTATAGAACGCGAGGTATGGCGGGTTCGACGCCGACCCCAATCCAGATAGATTCTGTTCGTCGAAATATGCAGTCCCCGTGAAGGCCTGTACCCCGTCTGCACTGGAGATCGCCACTGGTTTATGGTCCCAGGATATGAGATCCGTGCTGGTTGCATGGCCCCAGCTGAGATTCCCCCAGAAGTTCCCAGTGGGGTTGTGTTGGAAGAATAGGTGCCATGTCGATCCAATCTTGATCAGGCCGTTGGGTTCGTTCATCCAGTTCTGGTCGGGGACGAAGTGGAACACGGGTCGGTAGTCGACGGGAGTAGTAGCGGTGGGGCGGGCACTGGTGCGTGTGCTTGTGCTTGTGGCACTCGTGGTCGTGGTCAGTGTGGTGCTTGTCACGGTGGTTTTAATGCTCGTAGTGCTGGTTGTACTGGTCGTGCTACTGATACTGCTGGAGCTGCTTGGAGGCTGATCATAGATGGACCCCAGAACTTTTGCATCGATTGCGACATTACTTGTACTGCCACCAGTCGAGAAAAGCCGAGCATCAACACCCGTGTCCTGCGGGAAGATCTGCGCGGACAATGTGACCTCGCCCACTCCACCGAAGACTTCAACCGAGGATGAATCAAGGAGGATGCGCAGGGTGACCTTGCCATCACTACCAGGAGCCAGCGGTGCGTAATAAGTGTTCGAAAAAGTCCCGTCAAAGCCGACGTTCCCAGACTTGGTCCGATCAACAAAGATCCTCTTTGTGCCAAAGTCGTACCCGATTCGGGTCTGCTGCGCCTGGTCAGATGTTGCTCTGAGGAGGAACCCAAATGAGCCCGCGTTCCGGTCGGAGAATGTCACGGTGATATCGAGGGATTTCCAAGAAAGCGGAACGGATCGCGTTCCTTCAGCTACAGTGGCCAGAGCATCAGAGTACGTTCCTGTCTGCAGGTTGGCCCAGTTGGCCACAGGTTGCTGGATGAGAGTCGGCCACCCCTTGATGGTCTTGAGTGACAGTTTCCGCGGGATGGAGAGCATGCTGCGCCAGGGGAATGTAGGAATCCTGGTCGCGTATTGCCAGTTGTTCATCCAGGCAATATTGGTGCGCTCAGCAGCCGGCAATCCATTGAATGGTGCCGCAGCATAGTAGTCAGGTCCCCAGTCCATCCAGTTGGTGCCCCGTGGCTCAGCCGATGCATCCGAGAAGGAGATTTCATCCACGAGGATATGGCCCCATCCGCCTGTGCTGGAATCGACAATCTCAATGACCGCGCTCGAACCAACAAACTGTGTCACGTCCCAGCTCTTTGGCAGGAGCTGTTCACTGTCACTGCCCGTGGCGGTGCGGACAACCTGGCCGCCAACCTTGAGGTTGATGCACTGCACACCGGGAGCATTTCCGCCGCCGATGAGGAAGTTGATATTCTTCTTGGTGATTGTAAAAGTGGGCGACGTTAGAGTTCCCGTTGTCGCATCGCCGTTGTAGAACGTGTTGACTAGATTTCCGCGGTTACCAGAGACGACATTCTGTCCCGTCAGGGTGCCTTGCGCTGGGCTCTTGCCGACCAGATCCCCAGTAGCAGTCCACCCGCGACTCTCGTAGGTAGCGGTGCCATTGAAATCCCACAAACCCGCTCCGCCGGTGGGCGGCGGCTGGGTGGGAGCATTTCCGGTGAACGTTATCTGGTCAATGAGTATATGCCCCCACCCGCCCGTCTGCGAATCCACAATCTCCAAGGCGGCAGTCTGCCCAATGTACTCGGTGACATCCCAGGTCTGCGGTAGGAGCCTCTCCTCATTGCGGCCTGTGGCCGTCCGCACGGGGTTGGTCTGCCCCTGGATCTTCAAGTTGATACATTCCGCGCCTGGTGCGTTGCCACCACCAATCAAGAAATTGATAAGCGGTCGCGTGATTGTAAACGACGGCGAGGTGAGCGTGCCGGTGGTGGAGTCTCCGCTCAGGAAGGTATTGACGAGGCGAGAACCAGCATAGCCAGAGACTGTTTGCTGGCCGGGAAGAGTCCCCTGAGCCGGCGCAGCTCCGACCAGGCCGCCCGTGGCAACCCAGCCGCGCGAGGCAAAGTTGGCTGTACCCTCGAAGTCTTGGAACGTGACGTTTCCTGATGTTCCAGTTTCGCTCGGGCAGTTGCAGGTGGTAGTGGATGTCTGCGTAGCAGTAGTGGTCGCCGTGGATGTTGAAGCTGGAGGCGGAACATCCGGATCCGCAACGAAAGCAGTCCCATTGAAACTGCCAACCATGTATTGCGTCCCCGACCCGACGACACCAGGGGGTCCACCAGGGTTAATTCCAATCTGTACAACCCACTTGGTCTTGGCTTCGTCGCCGTCGAGGGCTAGCGGGAAGATGCTGGGACACTCCCAAACACCACCCACAGCGTTCATCGGGCCGAACTCACTGGTGTACGTCCACTCCTTCAGGTTAGGCGAAGTATAGATGAGCAGTTTGTGGAGTTGGGCTAGCGCGATTACTGACACCCATTTCTCCGTTAGCTCGTGCCAGAACACGAATGGGTCTCGGAAGTCACGCCACTGGTCTGCATAGGGTGCTGGTGGGTTAAGAATCACGGGGTTGGCAGCGTCGTACGTTCTCCAGGTCATGCCTTCGTCCACGCTGTATGCGATTGACTGCGCTTGCTGTCCGCCATTGGCTGATTTGCCGCTAGGAAGATTGCGCGAGTTGGGATACTAAGCCAAAGTTAATAAATGGGAACACCACGTGAAGCTAGGTTTTTTTTTTTTTTTCCATCACAGGACTCACATAGGAGGTATACATGGCCACAAAAGGAACCTTGCCACCCTGACCAAACCCGCTCGTATTCTCCGTATCAGCAACAGCGGAGCCAGAGAAGAACATCTCGGTGATTTCACCTGGGTATCCGCGCGCCTGAAGGGCCACCGGTTGGTGCTCCCAGTGGGTCAAATCGTCGCTTGTTGCATGGCCCCAGGACATGGCGCCCCAAGTGTCTCCGCCAGGGTTATACTGGTAGTAGAGATGGTAGACTCCATTGTGATAGAGAAGACCATTGGGGTCATTCATCCAGTTCTTGGCCGGTGTAAAATGGTAGCGCGGTCGATAGAGCTCGTTGTAGGTTTGTGCCTCTGCTGCTTGAAGAAGAGACAGCCCTACCGCAATGGCCGAGGCCCAGAAAGAGACCATATTGAGAAGACAGAAGCATTCACAGACTTGATAAACAGGCCACTGAGAGAATGATGCTGGTTGTGGATGCAAAAGATCTCGACTCGGTGGCGAGCCAGAGGCTTATATACTTTCAGGCTCTCGCGTATGTAATCTTGCCCTTGGCTTCATTTCCTCCATAGCCAGGAGTTAGGATGAATCCCAAGACGCAAAATCCCACCAACGCACTCTTTTCGTCCGCACTACTCCTTGACTTCGAGTGTCTCTGCGGATGTCCCCCGATGTGGCGCGAGAGCCGGGGCTTCTAGAACGACTCCCACATGGTCTAGAAGCCGGGATAAAAGATGGCGCGGCGTGTGAGCTCTTGATGCCTCACTTCCCGTTGGGCTAACCCACCCAATGAGATGGCGGGGAACCAATACAACCACCTCGTTCGGCAGCATCTCATCTATCCGGCACTGCGCGCAATGTGGAGTCGCGGAGGTCGGAAACCAAAGCGATAATCGTGGCGCATGGGGCAAGCCCATCGGCTTTTCTATGCCGATGTTGTGAGGAGCCCCCGTGAGGAAGCCCCTAAGAATGTGGCAGACTTGCTGCAGAAGTTGCGGGGAGCCACTGCCGACTCTTCGAATCGCTGAGTCTGCTGCGTCGCGGAGCAGGCCTAGTCTCCGCGAAGGGCAGCCACCATTGATCAAACTTGACATTCTCGAACGTTCGTAATTAATTGCCTTTGGCACTTAATATCATTCATCCCCCGCTTTTCCCCTTGGCAGTTGGATTGGTTTCGTCCCAAAGGAACCGAGGTGGCTCACTGAATGGTGGTGTTTTATTCCCCCCGCCATGGCAGACCTCGACTAACCGAGCTTTTCCACATTTGCACCAGCGCCCCCCCGCCAGTTGATTGGGAAAACTCCGGTGCGGAGGATGCGGTACAGGAACCGACATTCTTCACAGTCTCCCTCCAAAAGAAAACAAGAGCCGGAGATCGATGGTCGACATACCACGTTCCATTCAGGCTGCGGCTCATTTCCACTCATCATTTTAAAACATGCGCCCCGCGCAACTTTCGCTAGGCGGTGTGGAGAGAGCAGGCTGCTGTTGTAGTCAGGCGGTGCAGGAATAATCGAGGATCTTCTGACTGGATCTCATGAGATTGGGATGCTCTCAGGTGCAAATAGGTCTTGTATCTCATTTCAGAGGCACCGGGATGATCTCACGCGCGTTACGCTTTTCCCTAGACCTACGACTTTGTCTCCTCCTGCGCCACGGACCACTTCTCTCTTCGCCTGAACCCACTCCACAAAGCAGGACATCAAGGCCACCGCTATACCCAACCCTGCAACCCCAACGCCCATATAGTACGAAAGCCTAGAGAGCCTTTAAAATATCTGCGCCACCACGATCCACCTGCCCTTCAAAAGTTGCCGCAAACCCCAATCCAACGAAGATGGAATAGTTCACAAATGTATTAACCAGTGTTCTCGCAGCACCCTGATGACCCAGCGGCATAGCGCTACTCATGGTTATTGTCGCAGGGGGAATGACATGTCGATACCCCAGGGGAGAACGAAGGTACCGACAAATGCCTGCGCCTTGTATGTTTAGTGTACGGGAACAGTTGCGAGGATGAATCCCGCCTATTAGGAAGGATGTCATGGCGATAAGCATGAGGGTTGATCCGCGGAGGCTCGTGAGGCAGAGATGGCAAGCGCTTCGGAACTCGAAGCCGCCAAATTAGATCTGGCATTAATGAGGTATTAAGAAAAGCGTCGTCGCGAAGAGCTAAAATCACCGTGCATGAAGAATTTAGTTCTATAGGAAGGGAAAATGCAAGATTAGATGTGTTTGTGATCTAGAATGGAGATGCCTTACCCATCAGCGCCTTCCGGCCGACCTTTGAGATTGCGGAACTCGATGATAGCACAGAGAACATCGCGCTTACTATCTGGATCCTTGAGATAAAAGAGCTCGATATCAGGAAAGATCTCAGGAGATACGTCAAGAAAAAGAAGCTGTAGAAAAGTGACAGATGAGAGTAAGTGAATGTTTTCGACAGACGAGGCCTTCCAGTTGGCTTTATTGCGAGCCTTGAAACATTTTGCGCCGAGGTGCAATCGCAACACTACTGTATTGTCCACTGCGTTGCGGTGTTTTAGTCTATCTCCTGTTTATTTTCAGCATAACCACTTGTCCTCGGTAAACCCCGCCGCCCCTCCCCTTCTCGGCTATTCCCCACAGCTTCCTTGGTAGGGAAGACGGGCCAGCGAAGCTATCCATGAGCGTTCTTTACATTGATGGAATGGTGTCCCCGAGTTGGTGGAGCCTTATGACTACAAAAGTCTATGATGTACCTGCTTTGCCTGTCATCTTTTCTGCGTGCCTTCCAAGTCTGAACGCTTTGATCATTCATTCTCTTGTCAAGTTGACTACCTACTTTTACTCTGATTTATACGCTGCATTCTGCATTCCACTTCAAGGAAGAAAAAATTTCAAAACTCAACTTCACCATGGCTGAGACGATCACGGTCGATTACTTGGTGATTGGCGCTGGTGCAATGGGAATGGCATTCACAGACACATTGCTCACCGATACCAAGGCCACAGTGGCCATTGTTGACCGTTTTGCTCAACCGGGCGGCCATTGGGTGGTCGCGTACCCGTTTGTTCGCCTGCACCAGCCTTCTAATTTCTATGGGGTCAACTCCCGGAAACTTGGCGAGGAGACCATCGATCAAACTGGCTGGAACAAAGGCCTGTTTGAGCTCGCAACTGGCGACGAAGTCTTGGCATACTACAGTAAAGTCATGAACAGGACCTTCCTCCCTTCTGGTCGAGTCAGATATTACCCGAAGCATGAGTACCTGGGTAAGGGCGAATTCCGCTCTATCGTCACGAACAAGATTTATAGGGCTGGAGAAAAAACTCGGATCGTCGATGCAACCTATATGAAAGTTGAGGTTCCATCTATGAGACCGCCTAGGTACCAAGTTGCGGAGGGTGTGAATCTCGTTACACCTAACGACTTACCGAAGACCTCTCGACCATACGGTGGTTACACCGTGGTTGGTGCTGGGAAGACGGGCATTGACACCTGTTTGTGGCTTTTGGCAAACGGAGTCGACCCTGTACATATATCGTGGATCATGCCTCGCGATTCGTGGTACCTAGAACGCGGAGCCCTACAACCTGGCCCAGAGTTTGCCGAAAGTACTGCTGCCAGCATAGCAGCACTCAATGAATCAATGATGACCGCGACATCTCCAGAAGATCTGTTCCTGCGGCTGCAATCTTCTTTGCAGTTGACGAGACTGGATGAGCAAGTTTTGCCAACCACGTTCCGTTGCGCCACTGTCTCCCTGGCAGAGCTCGAGCAGATCCGAAAGATCACGAAGATTATCCGCCAAGGTCGAGTTGTGCATTTGACTGCCGACGAAGTCACTCTGGAGCGTGGCACGTACAAACCTGTCCCGGACTCGCTGTACATCGACTGTACCGCTAATGGTCTAGCAAAGACCAATCCTGTGCCAGTCTTCTTAGGAAACCAAATCACCCTCCAGTCAGTACGGCACTGTCAGCAAGTTTTCAGCGCTGCCTTTATCGCCCACGTCGAGGCCACATACGGCAATGACGAGGTCAAGAAAAATGGGCTTTGCCGCGTCATTCCACACCCCGATGAAGTCATGGACTACCTGACCGTCAACATCCAGTCCTATAAGAACGGTCTCCGCTGGAACGCGGAGCCGCAAACGATGGCCTGGCTGGCTCAATCCCGTCTGGATTGGTTCGGAACTTGGCTGCCAAAGGCACCCGAGGATCCTGCACAGGCTGCAGCTTTCTATCAGGCCTTCGCGGCGCAGGTTGAGGGCATCTGCGCAAATCTGGAGGAACTCATCGGTCAGCTACCTGAGAAGGATGCGTCGAGGGCGAAGGCTCAGTTGGCGAGGTTCTAGGAAATCGGGTAATTGTTAAGGGTATACTCACCTGAGCCACCTTGTGTTCAAGATGCATGATACAGATACTTTTGTACGGCTGTCGGAGTTAAAGAGCCAGGAGAACCTTCCCATAGTTTGTATTCGTAAACTCGTCTGGTGATCTTCAACTTTTCTGTTTTACTTGTGTCTGCTTTCCTAGCTTTTGTCGTTGAGCATAGGATCAGAGTGCAATGAATTATCAATTATTCAACCCCAAATATTTCTTCTGATTTAAAGTCATGTCTTGGGCAATAGTCTTTTTGCAGTCAGGGGTGATCAGTTTAAATTGAAGTACTGCCACGACCTTAAGGACACCTCCGGGGTTTCAGATTGACTTTGGACACGCACGCCTATTTTTTCCACGTATTAAGCGACGACTCGCTACTTCCTTGTTTGTTCTGACAGGGGCGCCAGGGGATTCCCTAGAATATCTTTGCATGTCACCCACGAAAGGGCCAGGAACAGAGCGGGGCGATTATATGCTGTTATGCGATCAAAGAGTGAGGCGACTTTAAATTGTGCATGTCCAGTGCTTTTAAAACTCGACCGTGCCATTGATCATGCGAGAGAGCTTATTCAAGGGGTTTGATCATACATTTGCTGAAGTTCGGGAAACAAGGCTTCACTCAATCATATTTTATAAATAAAGTACACAGCAGCCTTGCAAAGCGGTATATACTAGGTAGGTAAAATGAAAAAAAAAAAGTACCAAAATGCGATTTCGTAACCCAGGGCTGTTTCTCATTGAACGCCTTTGCATCAAAGTTGCGAACAATTCTCACCACTGGACCGTATTCCTCGTGCAGCTTCACAACTTCTTCCAGCCATGTGCCTCGGAAGTAACGCTTGGTCCGCCAGAACTCGGTGTATCTGGCAAGCAAAGGCCCAGGGACCTTTGAAATCAGGTGGAACCAAGTGCTGTAGACGATATGCACGGCGAAGACCCGACGGCGACTAGTAGGAGGCGTGGAAGGAGCTGGAGAGCGACTGGAGATGCAGCCAGTCGAACAGCTGAGGAGAAGACAACTGCCAACAAGACTCGCATAAAGTTTTCATGTTGACAACACAGATATTTTAGATTGAAATAATTTTGCTCTTAAAATGACTCTGGCTCTGACTTCTCACTTTGCCCGGATATTAGAAAGCCGAGGCTCTGTGGGTAGTGTTGAGTAATCCCTAGAGGTAGGTCAGACTTACTCGCTTGGTCCAGTATGTGATTCTCGGCACCTTCAATATGCGTGTCTCTTTTCTATCTGACACTGACTGATTTTGGCCCTGACTCCGTCTCCGATGGTTGATGTCGACGTCGATTTCGATTTCGATTTGGTGATGACTTCGAACAAACGCGTGATGCGTGATGCGGGTGTGTGTCAATAATAGCCGACAAAGCAAGACGCCTTTTTGAGGCGACTTCACTAGATCAGTCGATCGGTAGGTCGAACTCACAGCCCGTCCTCTCCATTGCTGCCGGCGCCTCGTCCTCGTCTCACCAGCACCCCATACTCGGAGAAACCCCACCACTACCCCTCCTGACTGTGGGGTGGGTGCCGGCGAGCGCACTTGGGTAGGATTGGGGTAGAATAGGGTGGCAAAGAATGGAAATCATGGACATGGTCATGGGACATGGAATGCAAGTGTTATGGGTGGCTGCAGCAAGAGGAAAATGTCATCATGATGTTCTCGTAACGTTGTTGTTTATACCAAGTTATTATTGTAGTAGGCGAGGCGAGGCGAGGGACTCAGTCCTCTCTTAAACGATCACCCCTCCGGATGCGTGGAACTGTGGAGCAAATACGGGAGAACTAGAAGTGCGGGGAAGCGGGAGGCAGCGACAGAAAAGAGAGACGACGACGGACGACGACTCGAGGGACCGAGGAAGCCAACGTCAATGGAACAGAACAGAACATCTCCTCTTGTCTTGTTCTCGTATCGTCTCATCTCGTCTCTTTCATCGACATCACCCACACGTCACTCTACGTTCAATCATACGGTACGGTACCGGAATTCGAGAGCACAGCGAGGCGAGAGATTACGGTGCAGTGCAGCGCAGTACAGTACACTGTTAGTGCAAACACAGCACTGGAGAGAAAGAGAGACGGGGGGGAGTAGGGCAGATAGACTCACCCGGAATATATACCACAACACGCCGTACCACAGTGACCACTGACCACTGACCACACCACACCATGCCCGCCGCTGCCTCTCCATCAGGGCCCGCATCGGGGCCTCCTCGCTCTGAATGCAACTTGTGCAGAAAGACCTTTGCACGCCCGGCCCATCTGGAACGCCATATGGAAACCCACCGTGACTCGCTGCGGTCGTGGTCATGTTCTTACTGTGGCAGAAGCTACACCCGGAGGTACATCCTGTCTATTTACAGCACATCTCCACTCTGCTTCCTTCCTCTAGTTATTCCCCTCATTATATCTATCTTCCTTCTCTTGTATTGTCGCCCTTTCTTGAGGTTGACTTGGCCTTGACTTGACGTTCGACTTGAACGCAGATAGATATATACTAATGCCGTGGCAACTCGTAGAGATGCGTTGAACAGACACCTTACTCGCTGCGTCAACGGTGCCGTCGACGCCCGTGTCCTTTCGCAGCGGGTCAATAAGGCTTGCCAGTCATGTAGTGAGCACAAGCTTCGTTGCTCCCGTGGCCAGCCATGCAAGCGCTGCGAGGATCAGTCTATGCCCTGCCATTATCGTCTCCATGGCAGCGCAGGTCGAAGACCCACGCCGCCTCCATCGGCCCCGGACATTTCGATGTCGATATCGAACGACAAGAATGACCACCTAGAGCCAGCTAGCAGCTCAGGCTACGTAGGTAATGCCGCTACATTCCCAGGGGTTGGTCCAGCAGGCTTCTACCAGCAGCACGTCGCTGCAGACATAAACCCATGGCTGTCGTGGGAATGGCCTGACTTGTCTTGGAGTTTCCTGGACTCTGACCCATGTGTGCCATCAGATATTAGCCATGAGCAAATAACAGACGTTGACCTTTCCTCTATCGTACATGTTCCCCTAGATGGTAGTCCAGGTACGACGAGTACAGAAAGGACTGCTGCTGCCGCCATCATCGATGCCAAGGTCGACCCGGCCGAACATCATCGCCGGATCATCATCACTTACCTCAAAAGGTTCCCAGCTGGACAAGGGGAGAATGTTCGCTGGCTTTTCCAGACACGACTTCCCTTCCTTCTGAAGACTTATTTCACACACCATCATCGCCATACTCCCATTATTCATTTGCCTACCTTTGATATCGTGGCATGTTCCCCGCCGCTTATCTTCGCTATTTCTCTGATCGCTGCTTCATACATCCCCCAACTCGGTTTACGCTCCCAGAACATTATTGAACTTGCCAAGTGTGCGTATCAATTTGCTCTGGAAGCCGATGAGGTCAGCCAATACAAAAATGAATTGAAAAATTTCAGCCATTGTTAACGTGTTGTAGGGTCTCTGCAGTGGTAGTACGGCCTCGCTCGAAACGCTTCAAGCCATCGTCCTTCTAGGCATCCTGGACCGGCTAATCGTAAAACGAAAGCCCGGAACACAGTGCGGTATCAACTTGAGTGAGACTGCTCGACTCTGTCGTGCTGCTGGCATCTTTGAGGTTCCCAGCCCACATCCGGGTATGTCATGGCGCGACTGGGCCGCCATGGAATCTCGTCGTAGGTAAGCTAGGCCTTCAGTGTTATACATCTGTGGTGTGTGAGGCTATCCAATTCTCAATCTCGCTATAGACTCGGGCTCGTTGCCTTTGCCTTTGACGCAATCATTTCCGTCCTACACGACGAGACGCCCAACATAAGAACAGACGAGCTCAATCTGCGCTTCCCCAGTCCAGAATATATGTTCACGGCTGCATCAGAAGCTAAATGGAAGAATGTAGAGCAGCCACACAACCAAGAGATGATGGCGCCTTGGTCGGTTGCTCTAACACTATCGAATCTTTTTTGCAACTTTGAAGGTTCGGCACCTCTACCCAATACTTTGATGGGAAGGTTCATTTTATTACACGGTAATTAACATAATGTGACCAACCAAACTTCAAACACGCCGTCTAATGTGTTACAGGTATCCTACAGCACGCATGGCGAACGAAACGGGTCCTGCTGGAGAACGCCGATGCCATGACCATCCCTGCGTTAGGACCATACTTGAGAACGAAAGAAATCGCTGTCTACAGCTCTCTTCGCAAATGGCGCGATGGCTGGCCCCAAACTCTTCTCGACTTCGAACCCCTTTCCAGAAGTCCAGCTCTCTATCAAGACCAAGGCCGCACAGAAGTGTGCTGGTACCTCGCAGGTCTCATTATGATACCACACGTTGTGCTCGCATCACCGAAGCTGTCGATGTCAAGATCTGAATCGGCAACCCCGGCGAGAGGCGTGCTGTCCGCTCAGCAGATCTTGGAGCGTCTGTTAACACTTTCTGATCAAAATAGACTGCCCTTGTTTGGGTTTGACTTTGAGGCTACGTATAAACTCGTCATGGAGGAGAATACGTCTGGTATTGGTAACGGCGCTGTGGGACCTTTGGTCTATGGAGAATCGGATATTCCCATGGCTGGATTTACAGATTGAGAACTATGTTCCGTTTCTATTCGTTCGCTTGTTGCATGACCCATGGTTGCTTATCATATGTCATCTGTATAAGTTGCAGAAAAGTAATCAAGCATGGCAACTCACATCTTAGAATCGAAGGCCTTGATGTGTTCGGTCACCTTTTTACTATTGCCGACTCAATACACACAGCGTATCTCTCGCAAAAATTTCCTTGCAGGCATAGTAATAGGGCTTGGGTCTGTAAATAAAAGTACACAGGTGTACGGTTTACATCCTGCCATGTAACTTCATGTAAATGCACACGCGTATATGTAAAATTCCGTTGATTACACGTGTAAAGTACATGTATTTACAATTCTTTTACCTAAAACCTTTATACAAGACTTATCCTTACTTTATGCTAGACTTATACTTATAAACTCCGGTTTAATATTTTCCGGCGGCGGCGTAAATTCATGTATTTTACATGACTATGTCCTCGAACTATGTCATGTGTAATGTTTTTACTTCTCAGATTCATGTAAATAGGTATAATAATCCCCTCTGTTGCATGTAGAGTACAAAGCTTTACGTACCCGAGCCCTATATGGTAATAATACATCTTGTGGCTCACAAACCGGGGGGTAATGAACGGTGCACAGATTTCACTTAAATAAACGTCTTACTCATCATTCCCTTCTTTTGGAAAGCATGCGCCTATTTAAGGGCAGCTGGTCTGTTTTACAACAGAAAGGATACTGCATACGATTTACTGAAAGAAAACCTGAAATTCCAGCGCTGAGACAGTCCCGTCTGATAAAAGATGGCTGACCAAGCAAAATTAACTAGTTAACTAGCGATCCAGGCTTTTTCTCATAATCTGACAATCGTCAAAGTCAACGCTATCTATGCCGTGACTTCATTTCACTACATACTTCAATGTGGAAGTAGCTCAAAGTGGTCTGCGTTGAGTCGACCCCTTAATCCTGTCAAAGTTACACGGAGAAGGAGAGAGCCGGTATTTCGTTCTATTTGCTTACACTTGCACCTGCGCAAGAACCCCACCGTCTTGATATGTATCCACTCTCTCTATAGCATCCTTCTCCATCTCGTCTGTAAACAAGCCTGTTGAATGCCTCAACTTCACAATCTCCCTCATGATCTCTTCCGTAAATTCCGGATGGTCTTGGACAGAGATGTATCTATTGGGAATGTACATCGCTTGTACAGAACATCTGTCCGTAGACGCCAGAGGTTCCACGTCTTCTGTCAGGTGGGCTTTCGCTGATCTGAATAAGAAACTCGGTGTCGATAGGGAACTCGTCGCCCTGGGCCAAGGTTGGACTAACTAGATAGCGGCAATAACGGACCTCAAGAGCAGTCAGCCGTCGAATGATATACTTGTCCGGATTGGAAAGGATCGCCTTGAGAGGAAGAAGAATGCAATCGACATTTAGGGTGAGAGGTTCAAAATGTTCAAGTGTCATACGACAACGAACCGCATAGGATATGGCTATAGATAAAAACAGATAATTACGCCGGATCAGCTGAAAAACAGGTGAGATGCGGTTACGTCGCTGGAGTTTGGTGGGAACTGACGGTAACAACGACTGTATATTTCTCGATATCCTCTGGGTACTGACCGAGAAAGTGGAACAGAGAATAGCTCAATCGATTATAGTATGTGTTGAAGGCTACGATCGCAGCCGGCGATCTTCCCATTGCCTGCTGCACCCAGGTGTCAAGATACAGATGTTTGAATACATACCAGCTGTCTTGGAGAAGTTGAAAGGCTACTGCGCCCGCCTCTTCGTTCCTCGAGAGAACTTTCCATGGCAGTGTCTCACGGAACGTATAGCGAGACTTGAGTGATAATATAAGGCATGGTTCATGGCTTGTCTCAAGGTTGTTCTGTTGGTCGGCAACTGGAGATCGAACTTCTGGTGAGCCTTCATCCGACGGGAAGACAAGGTCAGTAGACTTGCCGATTGGGGTCAAAAAGGCGCAATAGGATATGGCGAGTAACACCCACGTTTGGCCCGTAGATATCGCTAGTGTTCGTAGGATGTAACGCGTCACCTTGTGTAATCGGCGAGAAGTGGCATCGGAACTTTTTATAGCAGAAAAATATTATGATGTGACCAACTTGGCTGCTATGAATTTATTATCTCAACTGACCAACGCTGCAGTCTGGAATTTGCCCAGTAATTCATTATATGAGGGGATCATGGACGCTTCTAAGTCTGAATATTGTCCACCGGTGTCAATGCGTGAGAGCGGTCACTACGGTGATGGCAATTGTTCAGGAAAGCATATTTGTCGGGTTAATGAACAGGATTAAAAAAATGTGGAATCTTAGATGTAACGGCCAGTGGTCGAGAAGCTGTTCTGCAACAGCAATCATTTATGCACCAGCAGTCACCGGAATCATGCATTCAACCCACCACAGCCTTGGTGATTGCCCAGGCAAGATGGAGTGAGACTAGGGAAAAGGAAATTGTCAGAAATGCCGTCGTTCGCCCGGTTATCTTTAACCGCAGCCGTCTTCTGATCTGCAGACACGGTTGTTTCTGGAATACCCACTGGTATGTAGCTGTAGGTTAGGTACGCGGCTCGCCGGCGAGATGAGAGTCAGTCAAGCATCTAGAACGGGATGCGACCGTTCTCGGTCCTTTTTGAAGAAGTTATACCTGATCGGACGATATCCCTGAAGTGGGTCGCCGGAGTAAAATGGTGCCCGGGCAAATCGCGTCCATTGCGTTGTGTGCAAAAATGCCATAGTAGTGTAGACTAGTAATGCCATATATGAGGCACAGCCTTGTACAGATGACCCGTGGTTGATTGGAAAATTTCATGTCTTACCGTCCAGCCGATCTTGTCAACTGCCAACCGTCGCCTTCTTGTTTCATAGCAGCCGACCGGATAACTCCTGGAAATGCTGCTGAGTCTGCCGCCTGAATTATTACTGATGATATCTCAGAATGCTAGCTATCCATATTCGCACGCACCATAATATACCAATATGTCATAATAACTAAAGAACTGCGACTTGTAGGAATTATATAATGTTGTGATATGAGGCTGGTACATGTCGGGAACAAAGCCGCAACATCGGAAACAATCCCGCATTGCCAAGTCGATTTCCAATCAACTTGGCCTTCTCGCTGTACATATAAAAGCCTTGTGTATCCCCTAGAAAAGAATAAGAACAATCTAACTTCTAAATTACAACACGATGAAATTATGGAGTCGACCGGGTACAAAATTGTCAGCACCAGTTCGGCCCTAAAACCTGAGCTTATTGAATCTGTCAAGGAGGCGATAGGACCGGACCAGCTGTCTGGGCAATTATCAGGAGGCTATGCAAATCCCTCTAAGCACTGGGAAGGAGGGAGGTCCGATGCGCTGTTTGATCAGTGCGCAGAGCATGGTCTTGATGTAAGCTGAATCCGACAAGACCCATGGAACCTAACTGAGTCGGTTGCGATAGGTAGACGCGTTAATTAATGGTGGCTTACGGAAAGGCTACCAGCAAGTCATACACCAACCAGTCCGAGTCGTCCGGTTCCTGCCAAATACACTAATGATGGGTCCCATGAGAGCCCATCCGAGTCCAAACTCCATCTCAATATTCCGGCCCCTTTACGATTCTGTTGGGCCGGAGAATGGAATGTTCAAAATCTACCCGTGCTCCCAGTCTCTTACAAAGGCAGAAATTGAAGGCAGGTCAAGCGAGGTCCGTCTCGACCCCCATCAGGCTCTGGTCACTCTTGGCCCACTTTGGGTGGAACCTGTTCATAGTGGTGGTGGTGTCATTATTTGGAAAGGCTGCTCAGAAAGTCCGGTTGGGATGGACACTTTTGGTGACCATGTTCTACCTTTTATGAAACAACACGAACAGGATTGATACAAATAGAACCAGGATGCAGGCATAAAGAAAAGAACACAGGACCGGTAAACTCCTAAATCTCATCTTCCTTTCTACTTGAGATCCTTTTTCGTTTCTCTTTGGCTGAGTGTAGTAAATCTTGAACGCGTAAGTTTAGGGTCCATTGAAATAAACGAAACACAAGGTACTCACCGACGTGGCGATTGTAGACGGTCTGATAGGAATATAATAGCTGAGACCATTCAGAAGCCTGTGCGGCACCAAGGACTAGTGGCTGACTGGCAAATACCCTAGGTACCCTCCTTATCTCGTCGGAATATAGATGACCGAACTTTGCAAGGCAGGGCAGGAGGGCGAGAGAGATCCCGGGAACTCCTGTTTCTTCCTCTATTTGGAGCACCTTCTCCCCACGTTTCAGCCCGTCTTCTGTCTGCAGTCGTCGAATTCCACCGCCAGCATGTTTGTGGGTGGCGTGCGGAGGTTGTGGATGGACAATCCTCCTGTTCCACGTCCGCCTGCTGCCTTTCCTCCTTCCTCTTCCCCCGCCGCTTCGGCTTTAATTCCTGCTGCTGCTGCAAATGCAACAGCCACTGCGCCTCCCGTTGACCCTTCGCGTGCAGGCATGCAAAATCTAGTCCGCGTGCCTGTTGCGTCGTCGCCGTCAACGTGCCGGATCCAGCAGAATGACGGAGTCCCTTCTTCTCCCCAGCCTCCCCCACAACCGCATCCACAATCTCAATCTCAGCCTCAACTTCCTCTATCTCAGTCTCCGTCCGATCCCTCCCCGAGCCTCCCGCCGCTGCGTGTTACTCAGTTATCTCAACCTTTGACGACTCCTTTGCTGTCGTTTTAAAACTTGTAGGTTTCCTCGACTCGACCTCATGACAGTCCGACGAGTACGGTAGGCCAGGATGGTTCTCTGCCTTCCGTGGCAATTTTCCTGTCCCCGTCCAACCTGCCGTTCCTTCAGGTGAACGCGGGAGTGTCAACTCCGCCGGCGACAGGAGTGAATGCAGGACGTGCGGACGATTCTTCCTAGACTCCGTTGAATAATGCCGTCATAAAAAATGGCTCGAGGGAAACTCCGCCGCAGGTACCTTCTCAGAGCGTATAAGCAACCCATGCACACCCGCACGTTCTGGCTGTCGCGCGCCAGTCACAAGAAGTCCAACAAGAAGTACAACAACAACAACAACAACAACAACAACAACAACAACAACAACAACAACAACAACAACAACAACAACAACAGCAACAACAACAACAACAACAACAGCAACAACAACAGCAGCAGCAGCAGCAAGTACAATTATATTATCATCACTACCAACGCCAGCAACAGCAACAACGCGTATCGAATACGCAAAGCTTGTCTACTTTTGCTCCTACCGTTGATGCCTCGTTCTTTCAGCACTCAATCGGTTATCTGAACAATTTCGTGGCCTACTTGAAACGAGCCAGGTGTCATTCCGAAACGTTTAAGTTTGCGCGCTTATAATTTCTGGCTAAAACATGTGTCAACCAGGATTTCTTATACCTTGCGATCCACTAGAGATATTGTCTCTACAGTTTTTTCCGTTTTGAGGTTTTTAACCTACCGGGCTACACAGAGCTTCAGGCACGGGACCTGAGTGTCATTGAGAGAGTAATAATGGAAAACACCCAGTTGTCGACCGAATTTCTGCGCTGGTATATTTATTTTTCGGCTCAGATCACGATATTAATGCAGACGCTTACCTTCTAAATAGCTGTGCAGAAAGTTGCGCTATATCTCGGGCGGCTAACAGAACAGTAAAAACCCTTCATTAAATATATTTTTTCCTTTAGATTCTTTCCTTTAGTTAAAGAGCTTGTAAAAGGCTTCTGCATCATTTTAAAGACTCTGACCTATACTATCTTTCTGCCTACTTATCGACAGCTACCGGGGCCCAGTAACGAACTCTCGCTGAAGAAGGTCTAGTACTACGATGTACGTAACTACCTAGGGCGCTACCGGTCGGGAACCCCCGTACAGAACACTCGAAATCAGCAGGAGAATACGGAAGTCATTCGAATGTATCTATCTATCTCTAACCCGAACTAACCTGCAAGTCCGGGGCTGCTACAACAGCAGCAATATTTACAGCAACGGTAGCAGCAAACGGGCCAACAAAGTATACAGTTATCTAATCTAGCAGTTCCGGGAACTACTGTTAACACTATATCGTCTGCCATAACGCGACCCACCGTATTCTAAGCTCCCAGTCCTTGCAATCCCCGCAGATGCCCGTTCCGCGATTGCCTTCAGCCGGACCCGGCATAGATACCAGGTAGTCTAATCTACCTCAGACTTCTCCGTCGTTTGCTGCATTTCCATTCCCTGCCAGCAATGGCGCAGCCAGAAGAGTGTCCGGGTCGGGTCAACCGAAATCTTGAATGCGTATCCGTTGCCTGCTCAAATTCTTTGCCGCGGACCGGAACGCCCGCACAAAACGAACAGGCGTAACCCTAACCTTTACATCCTATATCGATTCCGCAGCCTAAGACTACTAGTAGCGGACTAGCACAAATGGTCTCTTCATTCTAGATATTGCTCCCGTTTCAGCTAGTTCAAACCTTTTTCCCGCGCTAGATATCCTCGTCGACGCAGCAGTCTCTCCCAACTCCCGCCCAAGCATAGGTTAAAATGGTGATGTAGCCCAATGGAGCACTTCCTCCACGTGATACGCCAGGTAGTACTAGGACTATTCCCAGCCAGCAACATCCTTGTTCTGTTTAAGTTTCTTACTCTTCTTCTTTCTATTTTCGTTTTCAATCTTACGCTTATTACTTTTCTGCTTTTTCTCCTGTAACCCTTTCATTATTTCCACTGCCCGGGTACCGACTATTAAGCATTTTTCGGTCTCATTTATTCTGTGACGTGTTTCACTAGACTTACCTCCGAGGTCCGGTAAATGCGGTACACATCCCGCAACATAAAAATAAGGTAAAGTTGTTCTAATACATTAGTAGATTTGCAATAAAATTTGTGCTATTTAATATTGACGCGTGCACATTTATACAGCAATTTAGACTCTTACGTTCCAATCTTGATCGGGTTCTAGTCTCCTAGATTTCTTCGTTAAAATAACGTACGGTACGTGCCTACAAGAATGACTTCTAGATCTATCGGTTACGTTACGTTCGCGTAAGTTCTGTAACCTCAGAGGTAAATGAATACATTTAATGCATTACTGAGTCTATCTGGCTGAATGTAATTTACGTATTCATTAATGACGTAAAGATTTTCGTGCGACAACAGATATATAACGGTAAAGATCTCTTTTTAGATATCAGTTATTACTTCTGCGAAAGACTCAATACTGTTTCCTTACATTTTATTCGTAGCTCGGCTGAGTCCCGGGATTTCACCTATACTATAGCTGTCGAGATACTGGATATTGCTAGCCTTTCTCGAGCTAAGGAGCTTGCGAAGCCACTAGCTTCCGCGAAATCTTGCGAGCAGATCCGAACTTGCCTCTCTATCGATCAGCAAAATAACGAAGTGAATATCGTTAGCAAAATTTTAACAGTCGATATCGTAGATCCTTTTACAACTAAAATCTTTTACGGATACTGCGAGTGTTTTGACTACAATACTTAGATTTTAACTTAAACGTCTAAATCGGAAAACGAGTCGATAAAGGAAAGCTGGAAATGCCTCATCTGCTATCAGAACGCCCGCCGGCAGAGTCTAGTCGTCGACAGCTTCTTAGTTAAAATCCGCGAAAAGTTAACGCGTATCAGCTGACTCGAAACTGCTCGAGCAATTTAAGTCAAAGCCAACGGTTCGTAACCGACCCCTGCGCCGTAAGCATCCGGGTGTCGCGTATCCGCGACCCCCACCGGCTCAGCGGTCAGAACGGCTCAGCGGTCAACTCAATCAATTTTCCACTCCACGACTTCAAATCTTAATATCTTAACGTCACAATGTCGGATTCTTATTTTAAATATGAAGATCGAATGCAGAAAGCTATATGCGCGTTTTAGGATAATTCTGATGCGTCTATCTCGAAAATTGCGCGTGATTTTGGGGTTGCAAGGACTACCTTGGGATCTAGATTAAGCGGACGAAATTCTCGATCGACCAGAAAACCTGTGAATCAGAGGCTAAACGACGCTCAAGAGGCTGCGTTAATAGATTATATAAATCAGTTGGATAAAATGAATGCACCCCTACGATCCCGAATGATCGAGAATTTCGCGAATTCGATATTAAAATCGGCTCACGATGACCCTTCCTTACCTCCTCCAAAAGTCAGCCAACAGTGGCTGCGAAGATGGCTAGAACGTCATCATGAATACTTTAAAAAAGCGGACAAGAGCGATAGAGGCAGACCGAAGAAATGCACATAATCGTGTAGTCATTTCAGGCTGGTTTAAAGAACTCTATCGGGTCATACAAGATCGAGGGATAGCAGAGGATGATATATGGAATTTTGATAAAACTGGCTTCCAAATTGGAATCGGAAAGGATCAGTGGATTGTCACACGCGATCCGCAAAAGAAGCAGTTTATTGGAAGTAATACAAATCGAGAATACGTTACCGTGGTAGAGGTAATCAATCCGCGCGGGATCGTGATAAAGCCATTCATTATTATGAGCGCTCGATGTTACCTACACGGTTGGTTTAACTTCATTGAAGCCGGTAGCGTTGTAGGGGTCTCTGATACAGGCTACATAAATGATAAGCTTGCATTTCAATGGATTCAGCACTGTAATCGCTATACAAAGAAAGAAAAAGTCGGCAATTATCGCCTTCTTCTTTGTGACGAATACGGATCTCATTTAACACGCGAATTCGTTGAATTTTGTGAGAAAAAAAGGATTATTTTATTCCTTTTATCTCCTCATATAAGTTACCTACTGCAACCGCTTGATGTAGGGGTCTTTCAATCATACAAATACTATCATTCTCGATGGATTGACGATTCAACGTGCAAAGGAACCGGAAAATTAAAAAAAAAACGATTTTCTTCACGCACTCAGTCATATACGATATTCAACCTTTAAGAAGCGTACTATACAGCATTCTACTAAATGAGCAAAAAACGGCGAGGGGTAAGTACTAAAACGGAAAGGGAAAGCAGTCGACCTGGCTAGAAAATCAAGTACGTATGCTAGACTGCCTACCTACTGTATCATCTTACTTTCCTGATATGGTTTAGCGCACATGTGACCCAAGGCCCCAGAGATGACTAATCTGGCACTTCATCGCCTCGCTCAAGCCGAAATAATTGATCAGGCAATTATACAACATAATTGCGTCTTATAATGAAATGATCATCATTCTTGAAGCTCTAAAGATTGCATAAAAACGAGCTAAATCCCATAGTTAGAAGAATTAAGACCTTGATTCAGTTGAAAACGATCACATTTCTCGGCTGAATAATTGCTCCTCGGAAGACCCACACTAATCTGCCACAGCCAGCCAGCAGTCTTCGAGCCCTTTCATCAATCTATGCATTTTACACCTACCAGTTCCATCGCTCTATATCTAGGGTGATCTTACTGCTATGTGCCCCGGCTTAAGAAGGTCTAACCAAACTGCATCTCACCTTCCTATCTCAGGCGGGGACGCCGGATGGTCGTCGAAATAGCTTGGAGCGGACTCATCGGAACTCCGAACTCCGCCAAGAAGAAGGCTACCGTAGGTGATAGTTACTGGAGACTTGCTTACGATTCAATACAAATTAGTGGCTCTGCGCTGATTGCTTAAAGTCTAGAGTACGGAATGATGTCTGCACGAATCTCCTCTCCCGTAATTCGAGGCTCGTCCGCCCCCGCTTCCCTCGGCAGTTTCAAGGCAACCCGTAGGAGCTCTGTACACCCGCTTATCTGTCGCTGGAGTGGCGAATTGTGCTTGGCGTGAGGGCCCTTCTCGGGAGACACTTTCCAATTCTTACGGCTCAGTGGCTCATTCTGTGATTGGTAATGGCAGGATGAGACATGGTAGTTAGTTAACAGGTTTTGATTGATTTGGTCAGCGTCAACCCGAAGCTAGAGGAACACGAGTTTGACTCGGTGACATATGCAATGCCCACTTTCCAACCCATTGTTCTCTAACGCTGACATGCATTTGCACGTCTTTCTTTGGATTTAGGACTGTGACCGGGTCATTAAAGTCCAATGCTGGATCCTTCTCCCAAGCTCCACTCACAGGCCTTAGATCGGCTCGTATCGCCAGGAGAGCTACCAGAATCAAGATCTCTGTTGCAGCGAACTGTCGAGCAGGACATAAATGTGGAGGTGCACCCCAGGCCAGAAAGTCACTGCCAGCATGCTTTTCTGCATTCCTAAATCGAGACGGATCGAATTCTCGCGCCGACGGGCCCCAGATGGTCTCATTTGAATGGATCGAATGTCCTGGCATCTGGAGATAGTTTCCTTCCTTGAGAAGATACTTGCCATCTAGCAGAGTATCTTTCATCACCCTGCGAATGGCGGCGTGGATGTGCCGAAGGCGCTGGGTCTCTTGGAAGACTGAAAGGAGAAGTGGACACTTGCACTTCAGAGCACCGACGTCGAGCGCATATCTGTCGTCCTGTCTTATAACCGCTTGCGCTTCCAGTTCCTGACGCACGTCGCGAAGAAGCTCGTCCCGAGAGAACAGTTCCCAGATGGTCCAGTAGAATGTTGGCACAGTGTTGCTTAACATTCCAATGGGCAGGGTGGCTTGTTGCTTGATGCAGTCGGTCTCTGAAATACCAGCTTCCTGTAGGACGCGCCAGCGTTCTTTGAAAATGAATGATGCATCTGGCGGGATATTCTTACAGTACTTTACATGCGCGTCGAAGACCTTTTGACGAGCGGCATATCCCTTTCCTAGAAGGTCGAGATTCAACCCCGAAATGTGTGCGGAGAGATGGGCGTGCCACGTCCTATGAAGCATCGCATGCTTTGTTAGTACACGCTCTGCCTGTATAAACTAAAGAACCAACCCTGGAAGCGCTTACCAAAATGCTTCTTCGACCTCAATATCAAGGAACGGATGCTCTGTCCCGTACACCCCACAGCTTGATGCCTGGGAAATAGCATGTCGCGCCCATTCCAGGAGCTTAATCTGGCGTTTCCCTGCATCTTTCACATACAACGGCTCAAGCAAAGCGTCGATACCTACCAGCGCTCGTTTTGCCATCCTTTCATTTTGCTCATCGAGATGTGGACCCGGCGCCAAGCTCAATTTCATCGCATGGCTGAATTTGGTGACCAAATGCGGACCGCCAAAAATCTCTTTTGTCTCGTCGCTCGCGTCACCCCATCGCCGCGCCACATGTTGAATGAGCGGTCGAAAGGAGAGTGTCTTCGATTGTCGCTGGATGGCCGGTAACAGTCGTGTTGAGACGCTGGTGTAGAGCTTGAAGTTAAATATGCCTAAAGTGAATATTTCTTGGTCGGTGGCAGTTCTATGAGTATAGGATTAGCCACGATAGGGTCTCTTTCTTGTTGTGCGATGTTTGTCACAGAATGCGCTGGCTCATACCTCAGCTGGCTATGATACGATGGGCCACTGGTTATGATTCCAAGTATATGTCCGATCAGCGGTACCTTGGGTCGAAGTCGCACAGGTTCTCGACAATCGTCTGTAATGCTAAACAGGCGTTCGGCGGCATACGCAATCAACACCACACCTAGCAGTCCGTAGGCGATTGTCTGGATCATTCTGCTGGCGCACCACAAGCAGAAAGAACAATGGCCGAGCCTTTCATCAAATCCGGGAACTCAATAGACACATCAATCATACATGTATAAACGGCCAAGTCATTGTTGGCAAGACATGGTAAGACCTAGCAACAGATTACGAGCTGCATACGTGCTAGAATCTAGCCTACCACGAGACAGGAATTGGGTTTCAAACCCGAGCTCGCCTAATCCTCCCGATCAGGAAAATCATCCTCGATATCCGATCCCCACTCTTGGTCTGGGTGAGATGACATATGGATTACGCTAGATAATGAGGCTATTATGCAGTCCAATCTGACAGGAAGTTGACCAACCGTTATCGAGCAGGAAATATATGAATCCTGCGGTCATACATGCTGTCAGCACTAGAGACTGTCCAATCAATGTCGGCCAAGATCAACGTACATTTCCGTGTCAAAGTCTCTCCTACGTGTGTCCAGTCATCATCGCGCACAGACCTGTTAGCCTGATGCCAGGGTTTACGGGGTAGATGTACCTCAGCCGGATATGCGTTTCTGGATTGAAGGGGATCAACGTTACACTGAACTTTTATACTCGTGTTATGTCCTACATGGCCCGTATGAGTATAGCTCGTATACGTTTGAACGTTATCTGGTAACATTTTACTTCCTAGGGAACGAGCTAGATACCTTCTAGAGCTTCATAGAATGAGGCGTACGGCCGATCCGAGAAGCGAAAGTTACCTACTTACTTTCTCTCCAAAGTGTGGTAAGACTTACCGCACCTGCTGGAAGCCTGCTCCCCACTCCAACTTGGCTATTACGCGTGTCCAGGAGCTGAGTTATCTCTCCTCTATAAATGGACGAAAATACCGCAGTGGGGTGTTGAAGGTCTCACACCCCGCGTTATCCTTCGTGGGTAATCCTGTAGACAGACACGTAATGGGCAGTGGGCTGAAGCTCGTAAGCCCTACTTCTCTCAACCACACCTACCTTTGCTCAGATAAAAGCATGATTGGCTAGCATGTCGGCTTCGGAGTGAGATTGATGAGCCGCTTGCCATAGACTTGACGGACTCCGAAGCACGTAAGACCGATGAAACATGGACACTTGACCTATGTGGACGTCACATTCAAGATAAGACCTTCAGGGTCATTTTAGTATATAAAGCTGTCAGCACCTCGTGGGTGAATGTCAGGCGAGGTCCTGTTGAAACATATGAGCAGTGTCTGCGATATCGCGGTATCAAGCAGTCATGGCTCTCGTCAATCTCACCACGAGCGCTTTTAGCCTCCTCAATCAAACAGAGACCATGGGGACTGATGCTCCCGGAATTCAGTACCAGTTCTCGGTACCAGCTTCAACGATGACAGCTTTTGCGGGTATTGCAGTCATATGGTGGTACCTGATCACGGTGAATCGAAAGAAGTACCCCAACATCTATGGGAACTATGACTTCGACGCCCCAATCATTGGGTACAAACATATGATTCTTGGACGGCTACAGTTCTTCTTCAACGGCCCAGCTATGATCAAGGAAGGGTATGAGAAATACAAAGACACTTTTTTCAAAGTGTCCAGCAATGACCTCCTCATTGTTCCTAATAAGTATCTCGCCGAACTGGCAAGCATGCCACCCGAGAAGCTGAGTCTCAACACGGCCATTGTGGATGCGTTCCAACGTCTCCACTCAATCACTGCTGTGATAACCGACCACAGCTTGCAATCGCGCATGCTCATGACTCGATTGACACCCAAGCTCGGCGTACATGTGCCTCTCGTTCAGGACCAGTTCCGCAAGTACTTGCCTTCCGAACTACCGGCCACCGAGAAGGACTGGACTAGTATCAACGCTTTGCACCTAGCACGACGTATGGTCCACCGCGGAGTGGCTACACAGTTCGTAATCGAGCTTGCCGAAGACGAGGAGTACTTATCTACTGCTATCGCGTACTCCGAGTACGGCTTCAGACACAACTTCATGCTTCGGGTGTTCCCCGACTGGGCCAAGCCCGTTGTTGCACGTTTCCTCCCTACGAGCTGGGGCGTGGATCGGGCTCTTAGTAACGCCAAGCGCATGGTCATTCCCATTATTCACGAGCGCCGGCTCCGGGAACGTGAGGATCCCACGTATGAGAAGCCCGAGGACTTCCTTCAAAACTTGCTAGACGGAGGTAAGGAAATCGAAGACGACGACGAGACGACAGTGCAGCGTTTGATGGTTACCTATCTGGGATCCGGCCCGTCAACTATCATTGCCGTGGCACAGGTTTTGTTTGATCTCTGCGCTCATCCGGAATATGTGGAGCCGTTGAGGCAGGAGGCGTTGGAGGTCCTTGCCCAGGAAGGAGGGTATACGAAAAAGGCTTTGGCCGATATGAAGCAAATGGATAGTTTTATGCGAGAGTCGCAGAGGTTGAGCCCTCCTACCTTACGTGAGTGCAAGCACTTTTTTCTCAAATCGTCCTTACTTCCCCTCATCTCACATGAACTAATTGATCATTTAGTCGGATTCAACGCTATAGTCCGCCAACCGGTGACACTACATGATGGAGTCATCCTCCCCGAGGGCGCCCATATTCAGATGGCGACCTACGCTATCGGCATTGACCCCGAACGAGTCCCAGATGCAGACAAATTCGATGGTCTGCGTCAATTCAATAACAGAAAACGACCAGGCGAGAGTAACTGGCATCGTATGTCTCCTTTCATCATCAAGCAGTCTGAGATTAGAAATCAACTAACTTCGGGGACTATATAGAATTCACAACCACCAGCGAGAACAACCTACACTTCGGCCACGGCAAAATCGTGTGTCCGGGGCGATTCTTTGCCGATCATTCCATGAAGATGATCGTTAGCAATATCTTGTTGAGATACCATCTTCGCTTCGTAGGAGGGTCGACGCAACGGCCTTCGAACTCTAGTATGTACGATGTTGTGATTCCGGATTTGAGTACGTGTGTGCAGTTTAAGGTCAGGGAGGATGCGCGGGCTTTCTAGGACATTCTGTTTCCACATTATGGTATTCTTTATTGATATTCACGACGGGCAAAAGATATTATTGCGTCGATGGAAGATGAAGCACAAATTAGATGAGATAAGACACATCCAGAACGCTGGTTATTTCGAAGCCGCTTTCTTTTTGTTTACTTCTCTCTCTGGAACTAAGCAACCCCATCCGAAGACTTCGTACTACTTTGTAGTGGTCCTAGCCACAACTGCATTTCCCTCGTCCCTGAGGCTCCTGGCTATCGAGAAGCCGATAGAAAGGTCGAGTTACCCGTTTCATGTGATGGGAAGGACGGAATTGGATGGGCTCTTCCTGTCAGCTAGTGGAAGTAAATCGAATACTGGCCGGTATCCATTAAATTTTCCTTAGCTGCAGGAATTCGGCATAGGCTTCTGGTCTTGAGTTCTGTTGAGTTAACGAGTAAGACGATGTAAATAACTTGGAAGAGTTGAATCTTATGAAAGGGGGGGGGGGATGTTTGCTGGTATCGCAAATTCTTCGCATCATTTACAATACGGCCATGCCTTTTCCCATGCAATCTTTTCTTCTTCAGAGCGAGCGAGCGGAGCAACTATATCAGCCTTAGCTTTTTTCGGAAGCATTTCCACTTGGTCATATTGGCCAGGCGAGACAAACCCTTTCTCAGGCCCCATTTGGTCTAGTTTTGCTATCTTTATGTTGTTGGGTAGGTAGGTGAGAAACGAAGCGTGGCAGGTAAAGACTAAAGATCTCCCGTAATGATATCGTGAACGATAAATTGAACATGATGTGATTTCTTGAGCATGTACAGCGCAGTAAGGGGCGCTTGATAGGAATGATTTGCGCCTCTGGAAAGACTGAACTCTTTGAATAACCACATGCAAATTTTCATGAAGCCATGTTCAGGAAATTTGCCCGCTGGAATGTGGATCGACAAAGAGTGGGTCACCCCGGATTCCGGACGAAGCTAGCTGGAAGGCATATGTCGGTTGACTTGGTCATTCCCCTAGGCAGATATCCTATCGATTCAACGGTAGGTATATGCTCGGTGGGTAAAAGTGAAGTGCTATTCTAAACTACTAGCTTCGTCGAAGATATAATAGCTGCCCATGCCAAGGAGTCATATGACTTAGGCATGTCAGCTGAATAATGGTTCCAACAGCATATGATGACTATTCCCAGTGTGTTATATACGGTGTAGGGTTCTGTAGGCTATAAGAATGGCCGTGTTAGCCGATCATGATCTTGTGTGCTGCCCAAAAATACATCTGGTGTTTGTGAAGGGCTATTGTGCGAATGCACACCGTAGGTCAAGTCCGCATAGGGAAAAATCTTGAATTTCGCAGTCAATAAAATCATACTATACTTGTCTACATTGAAATTAAGTGAGAGGAGCCATTTTCAAAGAGACATGTTAAAGTAGAGGGAATATGAAGCCGCTGACTCCACGGCAACAACCCTTGTGTGAGTACAAAGAACAGATAAAAGGGCACAATGCGGGCGCCATAGCTGAGATGCAATGCAATTACAACGTCAATGCCTTTGTCCAGAAGAATTAAAGAGGGTTCGGGCCCATCCGGAGCCGGCAAAAACAGACAGAGCTCGTCCCTGAGGGCTCCCTAATTCCAAAAAAGAAATAATCCTTACATACGATTTTACCATGATTTTGTAGAAGATCCCTAGGATTTTCTAGATGTGAATAGTGGTTTAAGGCAGTCTTGAGAACTATAAATGCCCTGCTACTACTTCTGCCTACGGTAAAATTAACAACTCCAGTTCCATCACTTATTCGCAAGAACACTTATCCACACACCAGTCACCAGCTAGATTCCCAGATACTTTTCTGTCCTTGCCAAAGTGTCTCATTCCAATCCCTATCGCCCTGAATGTTCCTGGTGTGGCTTAGTGCCCATTCTCGAACATTGCAACAAATGTAATCTTGCCTCCTACTGCAGTGCCAAATGCAAAGAGCTTGACGCTTCGAAGCACCGCCCAGGTTGCGGAGCCTTGGCTAGAGCACGAGCTAATTACGAAAAAGAATTGAGTGAATTGACAGGGACCGAAATATACCCGGCTCTTTCTGACCCGACAAATATGGATTTTGATGGTGACACTTGGATTCAGGATCGCCCTTTCAATAAATTCCGTTATGCTCGTATTCGATTGATCAATGCTCTCCAATAGGTGCATACCACAAAGGCAGCTAAGAAAGGGCGCGGCAGTTGCGATCCAAACTGCTGTTATTTGGCCCAATACATAACCCACGTGGACACTATAATTATCAGCCATATGAAGAGAATATCAAACTTGCTGTAGGACTTTTTATGCGTCTAGGCGAAGAAAAAGCATGCTATCAGTTTATAGTGCAGCACAACCTCAGAATATGGTCAGAATTGTGGGGTGATGGTGTGCCTGGTGGCTCTGTATTTTTACTTCAGGCATCGAAACCCGAACAGCGTGGATATTCTGGATGACGGAATGTATTTGTCTCATTGTGACAACTCGCGTTGTTATCCCATCGTATAGAATGGTTGATAAAGAAATTTTTCTTATGGCAGCAGCTCTCATTAGGTTCAGAATGCTCCAGGACATCAAGGTTTGGCCGCTAGTGAGGGACCGACTGGCATCGAATGTTCCGCAAGAGATATTAGATATATTTCAATCTGACACGCTGCTTGGTGATATGAGTCTGGATCTATTGAAGACATGTGAATCCCAAGAGGACGTCAATAAGGCAATTGAGACTCTGCATGTCCATATAGATACATTGTTTCGAGCAGTGGTGATATCTTCATGTCAAGTCTTTCTTAGACCGGAATCTCGGAAACCTATCCCTGAAGAATTTAAAGGTTACCCTATAAAAGCACAGCCAAACATTTGGTTGTTTCTATTTGACGCCTTCGTAGAGACTCCCGGTGCTAAAGAGTGTTTCAATGACTTGCTCAAAAAGCATATGTCGTCATCCCATTGTCCAACTGTGTCTCAAGACACAATGGACTACGAGGTTACAATAGTATAGTCTTCTTCGCTTTGGAGCTTTGGATTTGAACTATATAAATTGTCATCTCAGTTCTTGATATTTTCAGATTATTGGTTCGCAGGGGTTGGCTGGTTTGATGAATCATAATTTATATTGCGTTACCATTTTTGTACAACCGACTGAACCCCTCTCACGGGTCTCACAATAGAGGATCGAGCGTCATGCCTAATATCCTAGCTTTAAAGTAATATAATACTAGAATGATTTATAAACGGCTTTTTCAAAATGTCGAGTAACACCTCAAACTCACCACCTGCAGATTCTGCCCCGGTACTCCATTGTTTGTATATTAGACAGGAACCCAGCTCTCATAGCACGAATCTTTAAGCAAAGTTCTAGTAAAAACAACCCAAGTATGCATACTTCTAGCTCACTGTCTAACTTGATCCTAACATCCTACATCTTCCATTCCAGCTAACGATCTTTTCAGCAAGATGACGTTTCATACGAGGTATTATCCTTTAATATGATATGCTATTATGGGACTGGAGATGCCTGGAAAATACACATGACTAATGGAAGTCCACCAATATCAAATAGACCTTCTTACTGCAGGGGCTTGTGTCGGAACTTCCCAAGTTACGTTGCCTTCAAATAAAGATGTAAAAAGAATTAATTTCTCCTTTCCAGGTGTTCTTGATCTGAGATTGACGTGTTATGTTGCTCAGCGAAACAGTGGCACATCGCTTGAACATGTCTTCTATCCTTGACTACGAATTCATCTATATCAACGGAAACAATATGCCTCGCTTCGACCCTTATGGGTGCCTTGTTTGTTCAACAACAAAAGGGTTATCTCCGTGTAGTGAATGCCATGTGGTATACTACTGCAGTGAGGACCACAAAGAAAGACACAACATAAACCATCGGAAGGAGTGCCAACGTACCATGAGATGCCGTCATGAATATGCAGATGCGTTAAGCGCATTACCAGATCGCGGAAACCTGACCATGCATATCAGAGAGATCATGAGCCTCAACAACATCACATTTGGAAACATCCGAGGGTCCCACGCCCTGGATATCAAGAACTCGCTCATCAATCGCATCAAGCAAAGATGTGGTGATGCGCAGGAAGAACGCATGGAGCATTTTCGAGTCTATTCTCTGTACCGGCCGAAGATGGGACAGGGAACGAATTGGGACAGCGTAGCATACTACCTGATCCTCACAGGCCAGGACGATGTCTGCCACAACTTTCTCCAGCAGGTCAGTACCTCCTTTTGTCGGATCTTATCTGGAAATTTTGCATGCCGTGGATCTCGATGGGATGCGGGCAGGAATCCGCTCAATGACGATGGGTTCTTCTGGCACCCGGCGGTTAAGGCTCCCGTTCTGCTCTGTCTCTGGTTGATCCGATACAGGTTGCTGATCGGATTTCCGCAAGTGCAAGCAGCCCGTCAACTAGTGGGACAGAGGCTCCCTGAAGAGGTGATGGAAATAATACAAGGGCATCTTCCAATCAGCGGAATTCTACGCAATAACGCTAAAATGGCTACAGCCGATGTAGATGGAAAAATGGCAAATCTTCGCGCTGAACTTCGGAATCTATGGTATATCATCTATCGTCGATGCCCGTTGATTTGGCCAGTTCTACTGGATGGTAATAGTATGGAACGTCGTCCTTGTACATGCCATGAGGGACAGTGGCCATGTAAAGGGTGCGATTTCAAACTGAATCGTGAACGGATAATTGGTGCATGGAGCGTCCCCGGGGCTTTAGACTACTTCAGACGCATGCGTTACGAGCCTTACCATGATGCATAGGTGTAGCATGATTAAAGGAGTCTACAATGAGCATAAGACACGGGATAGCTTGACAATACTTCAAATGGGAATTTTCTTATATACATTTTTGAGCACGTATCTGTCTTGTTTTTTATGCGCTTCTTCAATCTCATTATCACGTTTTCTTGAAAAAGTTGTAACCAGTCACCTGGGAACTATCAAATCTCTCGCTCCTTGTATAGTACCTTTTCTGACACTAATCACTTAACTGTACGCATAACGCATTCAACCCACACGGAAGAGCATCAAAGCTCCAATTTTTGAAGACAAGCCTTTCCACTCGGTCCACCGATTTCAGCAGAGCATCAATCTAATGAGGTATAAAATATTCAACTTTCCAGGCAATCCAGAGTCCGCATTTTGTTTTCTCTATGTAGCATTCTAAGGTGGACATCGTTGAGTTAGGGCTAAAATCTGTAGGATCATCCAATCAGACAACATCGACACGGCCACACCATAAAAGGAAACAGCAGAACATTTCACCTGTATATCAAATAGCTAGGAATGCATAGAATCTCTTTCCTCTATCAAATTGCATGAGAGGATAATCAAGAACAGAGAAGATCCTCCGCGACACCTGCTATAGTGGCAAAGTCACGTGGCTTATGAGTCACCCATAATCGACGGGGCAATAGATTCTCCGAACCGATGGCGGGACGAAATCTCGCCGACGTCGGGAGGGGCAGAAAGTCGAATTACTTCCTCCAGTACTAATTGTTATCGGACGAGCGAGCGACAGAGTAAGCGCGGCCATTGGAACATTATGACGACCAACGCGACCCCGACCGAGTCGCAGAAGTACCTCTCCACCCGAGGCGGTGACTATGACGTGCGATTTCCTCTAAATGCAACCGATTGGCGATAAGGTGCTAACTTGCGCAAAGCTGTCTTTTGAGACTGTGGTCCTGAAGGGACTGGCCGCGGACGGTGGACTTTTCCTGCCGCATGAGGTTCCGAGCGCAGATGACTGGGTATGCAGATTGGCGTGATTCGTGATAGGGCAGTTTCGCGGAGGTGTGAAGACTAATAGCAAGTTATAGCAAAGCTGGAAAGATCTCAGCTACGCCGATCTCGCGCTGAAGATTTTCAGTCTCTATATCTCTCCCTCCGAAATCCCCACCGAAGATCTGAAAGGCATCATCGATCGGAGTTACTCGACATTCCGCGCCGAAGACATCACTCCGTTGGTTCGCCTGCAGGACGATAACCTCTACCTCCTCGAGCTATTCCACGGACCCAGCTACTCTTTCAAAGATTGTACGGTTATACTTGGGAATTGGACAACTTTTTGGGCCGATTTGGCTAACGGATTCAGGCGCTTTGCAATTCTTGGGAAATCTTTTCGAATATCTGCTTGTGCGGAAGAACCGCGGGAAACAAACAAAAGGTTCGGCAATGCAAGAAAATCAGCCATCCGTGCATGGCTTGGGATTTGGTCTGGATTGAGCTGACATGAAAGTAGACAAGCACCATTTGACGGTCGTTGGCGCTACAAGTGGCGATGTAAGTTTCTCCGGTCTGGCCTCGATCTAACGGAGAAATTAACGGCCAACTAGACTGGTTCCGCCGCCATTTACGGTCTGCGAGGCAAGAAGGATGTAACGGTCACTATCTTGCACCCTAAGGGCCGTATCAGTCCTATTCAGGAAGTGCAGATGACCACCTGCACGGAAGCGAACGTCCACAACTTGGCTGTTACGGGGACATTCGACGACTGCCAAGTATGTGCCGGGTGATGACCCGAGATCAAGAATATATCTTTTAACTAACAACCCTGATAGGACATTGTCAAGGCGCTGTTTGGCGATGCCGACGCCAACGAGCACCTGAAACTGGGCGCTGTCAACTCCATCAACTTCTCCAGAATTCTCGCACAGATCGTGTTCTACTACTTCTCTTATTTCCAGCTTGCGAAGAAGTCGCCCTCGTTCAAGGTGGGCGATAAGGTCCGATTTGTAACTCCTACTGGAAACTTCGGAAACATCCTCGCTGGTTACTTTGCCCACAAGATGGGTCTCCCCGTGGATAAGCTGGTTGGTAAGTTGTTCTTATACCTTTGAAATAGTCCCTTGATTCTCGACTAACACATGATGTCTACCTGTTGTAGTCGCGACGAACGAGTGAGTCAATTCTTAGACAAATACTAATGTAATAGAATGCGACTAACCTGCTCGAAGGAACGACATCCTGCACAGATTCTGGACGACTGGTCGTTACGAGAAGCACCCTGCTGAGGACAAGGAGGCCGGCAAGCCTGACGCCTGCAAGGAGACTCTCAGCCCTGCCATGGACATCCTGGTGTCCAGCAACTTCGAGAGACTTCTCTGGTTCCTGTCAAAGGGTATGCAACGCAATCCAACCCTCAAATATCCAACCATGCCTTAACCATCAACAGAACACGCCCTGGCCACCGGCGCAGACAGCCGAACCAGCAAGAAGCAAGCCAGCGAGGACATCGTGTCCTGGTACCAGTCGTTGAAATCCTCCGGCGGTTTCGGACCCATCCACCAGGACATGTTGACGAACGGACGCCAGATCTTCGAGAGTGACCGCGTCAGCAACGACGAGACCTCAGCGACTATCAAATCCTGCTACAAGGAGACCAAGTATGTGCTTGACCCGCACACCTCGGTGGGTATCACGGCAGCGCACCGATCGATTGCTCGCACGGGTGCACCCACGCATCACATCTCGCTCTCGACTGCCCACCCGGCCAAATTCTCCGACGCGGTCGCCACGGCCTTGAAGGACGAGGCTGGCTTCGACTTTGATTCCCAGGTCCTACCGGATGAGTTGAAGGCCCTCCTGCAGAAGGAGACTCGCGTGACGCAAGTGGAGAACTCGTGGGAGGCTGTGAGGGAGATCATCAAAGCCCAGGTACAGAAGGAGCTGAAGGAGGAGGAGAGCCAGTCTTAGATAAGTAAATTTGTTTCCGTGTCTAGAGAAGAGAGATGTGATAAATGGTCAATGTATATCACCGAATAAGGCCTAAAATTTCTGAGTTTTATCTAGAATACTGACGTGTGCGTTTTGGCAATTCATGAACACAGTACGAAGATTCCCTGACTGACACCTAACCCTATGAGAGATGAAAAAAAACGAAGTCTAATTCAGATTGCAAGAATTTAGATACCAATATCCAAAATTTACTCAAATAGTTATTTACTACCTGACGAAGTCCTATCTGGCAGTACATAATATGTAACCAAACACACAGAGAGCAGATATACCATCACTCGAGGATACAAAACAGCACGAGTCGAAACACTAAAGGTTTCGACCAACAATCCAATCTGAATCTGAATCACGCAAACAAAGGAAATAATAGGGGGGCTATTAATGAGTGACGGAATGATCTGCTTGAGTCAACAGACAAACAAGCAAAAAGAAAGCAGGGCGAAGCAATAAACTCCATCCTGTCTCAGAAAGAAAGGGGAGGGGAAAATGTGAATGGTAGAGAATGAAATGAAGCACACGGAAAAACAACAACTAAAAAAATAAAAAATAAGAATAAAAAAAAAAAACTCACAAACCAAACCAACGAGTCAAACCAGGTAGCTAGGTCGGCAGTGCTCATCCCAGAGCCACACAACCCATCGATCTCAAGAAAAACAAAAACTCAAACACCCGCAGGACTCAAACACTGCCGACTATCACCAAAGATAGTCGACGCGTTTGGGGTATTCAACGGAGAATTTGCATTCGCCATGACCCTCGTCCTCAAAATCGATCGAATATCATGGAAGCTGCGTTCCTTCCACTCCGGATACCCTGCGGTACTGTGAGGAAATAAAACGAGGTTATCTTCACGGCTACCGAAGACGTCGACGCTGGGCGGGGGCATGGCGGTGATGGTTTCGATTTCTTGGGCGATGCGACGGCAGTAGGTGTCCAGGGGGAGATCGTTGACGTCGTCGCCGAACGGGTTCTCGATTTCGCGGCCGATGGCGGAAAGGCCGAGGATGATGTATGCGGCCGCTGGAAATTAGGGTTAGAGTCTGTGTAAATGATGTAAGGTGACTAGGGGTGGGTAGGAGGAACAAACCGATCGATCCGGGGATGGTCACCCATGAGAGGGAGTCGTAGAGCTGGAATGGAAGAACAAGGACGTAGATCCAGGTGACTTGGGCGATGGAGATCGTGTACGCGGTTGGGAGGGGCGTGTCGAGAACGCGTTCGGTGCCGGTAACGACTTCGCTTAGGCTAGCGAGGCTGTTGACTATGGTATGTTAGACTCTAGGTAGTTTTGAAGGTATGCATAGTAACCGGATCTGTTATACATACTGGCTTGCGTCTGGTATACACCGCAACTTAGCGTGTCGTTCGCAATCCACCGATTGACATACACAGACAGATGGTTTAATATCTCCAGCGGAAGATGACCAAGAGGCTTCTTGGATCGTTTGACATGTTTCCGGGGATCGGACTCGGCGATTGACAATGACAGGTACTCGCCCGCTGATTTCCAAAAGGACTTCTGAGAGGGAACCAGGCGCTGGCGATCATGCGCTTCTTTGGCAAAGGTGTCGAGATGGCCAACCAATCCTGCCAGATCGTCGTAGCCAATGTCGGGTTCGAAGCGAAGTTTGTGCTTGAGGGAAACGGCGAACGCAAGGATCAGGTTCATCGCGGACCTGAGAGGTCGAAGTAAGTAAGTGATGTTTATTGAAAGGATAGAGACATACAGTTTGTCAAGAACATCTTCTTTCCCTTCTTCGCCTTCTCGCTCGGCGGTGCAGATCCAGATAGTACGAGCGAGGATGCGCGAGGATTGATGCAGAAGAGCCCAGTATTTTCGTCCGTCGGCCCATCTATTCAAGCTTAGCCGCTTAATTCTCGATGAGTGTTGCTTGAAGGATGTAAGAGCCATACCTTTCATAAGCCGTTGAACTTTGGAAGGACAAAGACAGTCCGACGACAAGACCGGTAACAGTAAGCAAGATGTTATCGATTCCGACTGGACCGAGTTAGCACCATATTGCGGCATAGGAAACGAAAGAACTCACGGTCATAGACGTATTTGCAAACCAAAGTCACGACTGTCGACCAGATGGCAATGAACGAAAGCGGGATGATCAGTTTTGGCAACACACTACCATGCAGTCGAAAGAAAACGGGCCATTTAGTGTGTTTATCCAAATCGCGGGGGCCATGCTAGAATCTTCAGTTAAACATACGTTCATTGGACTCGGAAGGAAGAAAGAGGAAGGACATACAAAATAGCGAACAAGGTCGGTAGAGCCCTGTCGCTTCAAGGTGGAATGATCATCCTTAGGACTGAAGTAGCTGTCGAGGAAAGTTGGACGTGGAGTCAAACGGCGACCAGGAGACAGGAATTCAGGTTCAGGACCGGCTTCTAAGTCATAATGAACTTGAGGGGCGGGTTTGGGGTCGAAGGTAGGTAATATTATTGGTGGTGATTCGGTCCTTGACGATGTTGTCATACAAGCAGCAGGCGCTGCAGGTGGAATCTCAAGGGAAGACAAAAGCACCATTCAGGCGCTGGTCAAGAAGGCGCACTCTGGCGGGGGAGGGGATAAAATTATTAGTAATAGTTGTAAACGAGCGTGGACGCAAAATTTGCTTGCCGATTAGAACGTAAACGAGTGACTAGGGTCTGAAACGAGTGACAAAATCAATTAGTTGGATGTAAGGGATAAGGAATGACTGGCTGATAGGCTTGTAGGAGAGAATTGACAAGAAGACGGGATGTCTGAATTATATGACCCGGATTGGCAATAATCGCATTGGCCAACAGCAGCACTAGATCAAACTTACCTGTAGAAGAAGTTACTCTTTGCGGGTCATAGCCCGTGGGTAGCGAGCGTTTCGGTGGTAGTGACTGCTCCGTATGTGGATAGAGTGGATTGTATCCGGTCAATGAGAGCTACAACCTGCAGCATCGAGGGGTAGACTGTGATCCAGGCCACTTGAATGCCTCTGCTAGGGCTCTAATGAGGGCCCTCGCCTGTTGGACGGCTGATCTAGGCCTTTTCGTTGGAATGTTCTGTCTTCAATGGTGATCTGCACCATAATCCTCTAGATTGCGTACACTGGTCTGGCCCTAGACTAGAATCTTCTCGAATCTAAGTACTGAGTAGAGTCATACCCTGCAGTGACAAGAATTCACATGAATTTCTCGTGCACATTTTACTTAGCATCTTTGGGAGGCCATAGAACTGAGCTATCAGTGACAATTGGAGTTGAGTGACGAGGATAATCAAAGTTCTGGTGTAGTCAATCCCGAAAAGTAAAATGTCGCTTTGTCAAACGATAAACCGTCCAAGGGCTGGCGACAAGGACGACAGTGACCCTTAATTTATTAAGGATGCCGATCTTGAGGGTCTGTTTGGCTGCGGCATTGAGGAAGTGGGTCCCGGACGGAATGACTGTCCACCGCGACTGTGGGGGCTGTCATCATGTATGACCGCCGTTGATTCGAGTGTTCCCAGCCACTTGCGCCTTTTTGTCAATATATTTTCAATAGAAGATAGGGATCATTGCGACGCACCCATCACTTTTCAGACTGAAGACTGAATCGATGGAACCTAGAAAACATCAGGTACGCACTCGCTAGAGGCTCTAGTGGAATGAGACACACTGTCTAGCCAGATCACTATAGTCTCCTGTGATCCGAGACAACAGTTGCCTTGCCTGCTAGTCTAGAAAAGAAGGAATGTTTTTGATCGCATACGAGGTAAACAAGCACCAAATGCTTGGCGGATTAACATTTATATTTGCAGGCTCGTATCGTAGGCTAGATAGTATGAGTGGAAGAGCTTTCCATGAAGCAACGCGGTGAGCGCCTGGGTGATTGCTTATTCCAAGGCGTACTCTTTCCAGTGGACGGGTCGGAGATGTGACAGGAGATGTCCATAACACTCTTCGATGGATCGGAGGAGCGCGTCCAGGTCACGTGCAGAAACCGGCAGGACGGCCTCCGGGTTCCGCAGCGGCCGTCCAGATCCGAGAGCCAAAAGTCACGTGCAGCGAGGGACCCGGGCCCGAGTGGGGACATCCGAGCGATGCCGTCATCCGCCTTGGATCTCTATTTAACATGTACAGAGCCTCGTTTGATTTTGGCTGCCATCAAACACAATCTCCTCTTCTATCATTTACAAACTGTGTCGCACATCTCTATATATACTCTTTATTCCAGGCCGATTCCTACAATGGCCAAACTCGACCAAGTCCGCGCCTCCAATGCCGCTATCAACTCTCAGAGACCCGAGCTGGTAGCTGTCTTTGTAGGCGCGACCAGCGGCATCGGTGAAGGAACAGCAAAGGAACTCGCCAACACGGTCAAGAAGCCGACAATTCATCTCATCGGACGTAACGAGGCTACCGGTTCCAAGATCTTGGATGAACTGAAGGCCGCGAATCCCGAGGGATCTTTTCATTTCATCAAATCCGACGTGTCGCTACTCAAGAACGTTGACAAGGCTTGCGCCGAGATCAAGGAGAAGGAAGAATCAATCGACCTGCTCTTTATGAGTACAGGATATATGGGATTTTCAAAGAATGGTAGTTACTTCCTGTCCCTTCCCTTTTCACCCCTAGATACTTAATCGTGCTAACAAAAATTAATTGCGATAGATACACCCGAAGGCCTCGAAAACAATCACGCTCTCCGCTTCTACTCACGTATGCGCTTCATATACAACCTACTTCCTCTCCTCCGCGCCTCGAAGGGACCGGCCCGCGTGATCTCCGTCCTTGGCGGCGGACAAGAAGGCACTATCTCGGAAGACAACCTCGATCTGCAAAAGAAGTGGACATTCCTGAATTCTCTCACCTACGCGTCGACTATGAACTCGCTCGCTGTTGAACACCTCGCTGCTCAGAACCCCTCCGTCAGCTTCATTCACATGTTCCCCGGCGTCGTGCGCACGCCGCTAATGAGCAGCACGTTTGGGAGCCTGGCCGGCTCGATTATGGGGCTCTTGTCGACGCCAATCTCGATGACGCCTAAGGAGAGCGGGCAGCGGAATCTCTATATGGCGACGTCAGCGGCGTATCCGGCGGCGAAGACGGATGGTCAGACGAGTACTGGCGTGCCTCTTGTCGATGGGGTGGGTATTTCCAAGTCGTCAACGGGCAGCGTGGGCGGCGGCTCGTATATCTTGAATTATGATGGGGGTGATGCCACGAATCGGAAGGTCATGGATGGGTATCGCGAGAAGCAGTTCCCGGCGAAGATCTGGGAGCATACGTTGGCGACTTTTGCGAAGGCGTTGGATCCGGCTCAGTAAATTATTTTATCTTTGTTTCGGGCGCTCATATGTACAGTACATTCCAAACAAATGAACACAATTCCCCTCATTCAATTAATTACGGCTTACGCGGTTAATCCTCGCCCACGCGAGGTGGTCTGCTCACCTATTGAGCTAGGTATCTTGTGTTGATTTGTACTGTACTGTGACAAACGGAATGTTCATCCTTTTTTTTTTTTTTTGACTCAAGGAAAAACGCAATGGAGGCCTTCTCAAATGCTGAACAGACTTTGTGCGAAGCAGAACCTTTTTCAAAATTCTCTCGGTCTTCCCCAACGTGTTCTCTCACACCATTCGTGGGTGAATTAGCCTCTCATCATCAATCGAGTTTAGTGACTGGCCCTGGAATTCGGTCTTACTAGGCATATCAATTTAATTACATGCCTTCAAATCTTGAGCACAACCGCCTATATTCTATTGTTCACTTGAACTGTATTACGTCTACAGAGGCCAACGAAATTTAAGCTTAACGGAAATCGTAAAAAGATTACATCGTATCTCTGGTGCTCTATGCTCAGCCCAATGAAAAGTCTTGACAATGGCATTATCTCTGGATATCTCAGTCTAGACGCTTCCACTCAGCAATAGTAGAGTCTCAGCGCTCAAGGGTCAAAGTACATGTTTTAGAGACAAGGTACTCTGCAACAGCGACGTTCTTGCCAGATTCCTTTCCGTTACCTGACATCTTCATCCCGCCGAAAGGAGATTCAGCGGCAGAAGAGTTTCCAGTATTGACCCCGACCATTCCTGCTTCCAAACGGTCCATCATTCGCCAGCATCGATCAATAGACTTGGTAAAAACATAGCTCGCAAGGCCCATTTCAGTATCATTAGCCAGCTTGACGACCTCGTCTTCGGTTTTGAATCTGTAAAGAGCAGCAAGTGGAGCGAAACTTTACTCGTTCGTGATCGCCATTGAAAAGTTCATGTCGCGCAAGATAGTTTGCTCGAAGAAATAGCCAGCTCTGTTTCCAGGCTTGCCACCACATAAAACAGTTGCACCCCTTTCCACGGCATCTTTCACTTGGTTAATAGCTTTATCAACACCGCGGGACGTGGTAAGCGGCCCCATATTAACAGTCTTCAGTTCCGTGGCCGACACGGAGTGTTTTGGCATGGGCTACTAGTTTAGCCAGAAACTCTTCATATATGCCTTCTTGGACATAGATACTATTAGCCATGACATAGGCCTAGCTAGCATGCCGCCATTTGAAAGTGGTAAGTTGGTTGAGAGCTTGGTCTTGACTAGCGTCATCGAAAACGATGAATGGACAAACCACCAAGTTCAATAGTAACCTTCTTGAGACTGACAGCACAGTGGCCTGCGATAATACTGCCTACACGAGTTGAACCAGTAAAGGAGACCTTGTGGACCAATTCATGTTTGCGTAAGGCTTCTGATAGCGAAGGGGTGTTTTTATTCGAAGTGGTGACCACATTAAAAACACCCTTGTCGAAACCCGCTTGCTCTGCAAGATATCCCAATGCAAGTGTGGTCAAAAGGGTTTCTGGGGAAGGCTTTGCTATCATCGTACACCCCGCAGCGAGGGCCGCTCCGACCTTACGGAGAATGATGCTTCCAAAGAATTTGCTTTAGTAAGTGCGCATTACAGTTCAGGTGCTCAGATGGACTCACGCAATGGGAAAATCCCAGGGCACGAGTGCATCACACAACCCGATGGGCTGCTTCACAACCACCACGCGGCGATTAGGTGCAGCTGGCGTACTCACTTCTCCCCGAACGCGTTCAGCTTCACCGGCAAACCACCAGGTAAATCCAGTCGCGTAATCAATCTCCCCTTAGGATTCAAACAGTGGTTTTCCGGTCTCATATGTCAGGATTTTAGCAATATCGTCGCGGTTATCAAGAATAAGCTGGTGCCATTTGAGAATCAATTGAGCTCGGGTGCGGGGATTCAAAGTCCGGTATCTTTCGAACCCAACCTGGGAAGATTGGATCACATCCTCTGCTGCAAGATCAGGGCAGCTGGTGAAGATCTTTCCATTTCCCGGGTCTGTGAAACAAGGCAGTCAGCACATTGCCAACCGATAATTGTTGATGAATAGAAGTATATCTTCCACATCAAAGCGCTCCTTCGACTTTGCTTCGATCCATTCGCCATGGCGATACGTCTGCGTGCGGAAGAGAGAAGTGTTGTTCAACTGTATCACAAGCTTTAGTTATCCTAAATCTCATACATCGAGAAGATTGCAAGCGCGATGCTTCATAATTTGGAGCACCTTGGATACGTACTGTAAATGGTAGAGACGACATCGTGGTAAAAGTGTAAAACTCTGAATGTTCAGTTAGAAAGCCCAGTAGTCAAGAAAGAGTTGAAGAACCAAGAGTTCAAAAATGGCCATTAGGAAAGCCACTACCATCACTTGACTAATCTAGGAAATGTGAATTTATAGCCAGCATGCTGGCGTCACATACACTATCAGGGTGTATAGCAAGAATGACCGGAGTAGAATTATGGCTATTGTATGATCCACCGAGTTGGGGTTGGGGATTGGGGAAATGTGAGGAGAATCTTGGTGGAGATTGGGGGATCTCATCTGCCGGTAGAAGTGGACCCAGCTCGACCAATTGGACCTGGTAGCAGTTTTTGGATGACGATCTTGTCTCTATGACTATTGTCCTCGTTCCCAATTTCTGCATACAATGAGGGGATGGGCGGACTTCTCGGGGCTAGATACACATGGCATCTGATAGAAAGCCCAATGGCGGGCCCCGCGAAGCTCAATTCAAATAAGAGGTCTATTTGTAATAAATCCCTTCTAGTTCCCTTCTATATTTCTGATCACTCGCAAGTACTTCATTTCTCGTCTCAATTAAAAACTCTACAATCCCGATTCCTACTATCATGGCTGATAACATCGAGCTCAGGCCCCTTCACGAGATTCTTTTTCAGGAGGGTCTCAAGGTCCGCCGAGCAGTCGTGGGAGATGCGTACGTGGATCGATCTTTGGCCAACGGGTCCAGTGATTTTGCTCGCCCTGGCCAGGAACTCGTCACGGAATGGTGCTGGGGTCACATATGGACCAAATCTGGACTCGAGAGAAAGCAGCGTAGCCTGTTGAGTATGCCAGCCCGAGCACCAACCCGACATTTTAACCCTAGATCTTGGTATGTTGATTGCCTTGAAGGCGTGGCTGGAATTGGCTGTTCACACCCGCGGTGCCATCAACAACGGTCTTACCGAGAAAGAGATCAGAGAAGCGGTATTGCAGGCCACCATTTACTGCGGAGCTCCTGCTGGTATTGAAGCTACCAAAATTACCGAGAAAACTATTACGGAAATGATCGAGAACGGGGAATACAAGAGATAAATTGCCGATGAATGACCACTTGCGATGGAATAGATAGTATGGTTTGGAATTGAACTTCCCACGAGACAAGAAGCCTCAAGACCTAGTGTAGCCGTAAAACTCAACTTTCGATCATGATGGTACAGCTATTGATTATCTTTGGATTTCTAACGTCTCTTCACATATGGCTGGCCTCGGCTATACTTGCGTATGACTGTCACCATGGTAGCCTTTCATCTAGCCGACATGGAGAATCTGGGAGCGGGGTTCGGAGGGTCCAAGAGCGCGAGTGGGATACCCCAGGGAAACATGAAGAGTATTGAAGACGTCTCATCTGTTGGGGAAATGATAATCACTATTATTTTCTCAAATGGCGACCATGCATAATCAGCTCACTAGTTAGCCTCCTCAATAACTTGTCTACATCTAGAAAGCCTTCTACTTTCTTCTGCCCTTCACCCTGCTCTCTACCATGACGAAACTAGTTTGCATTGTTTGAGTTCACGCTCTTCGGGCGGGTCAATTAACCCTTCCCACGAAGCAATTTATTGCGAATATCGATGATATCAATGAAAGAAAGAGTGTCCTGTCCTTGTCGTTCTTGATCCAGCACCGGTCAGAGACGACAGGCAAAGTCACACGTTTCGTTTTTGACTGGGAATACGCCGAGACCCCGGGCTTTACCAGGAGAATATCAGGCAGCATACTCTGGCAAGGAAGCCTCTTGGCAGATATCTAGACATTATCGAGTCCCTCTCAAACGGACAGCTTTTAGTCTCTGAGATTAACTTTATTATTTTGTCTCATGTTCATTGGGACCATGTTTGAATGCCATCAGACTTTCCCGAGAGCCATTTTATTGTCGGAAATGGCTCATTGGGCTTTCTGGAAGGGATTGACTAAGTGGGTATATGGAGTATGGGCACCCTCATGATTAATTCCTTTTGTGCAACCAGAATGACTAAATTTCCATCCAGATGATGTACCTGACAGCCCCCGCAGAAAACCGGAAACTCTTATGGCATACGTACAGCGCCCAAGCGTACGGCATCTATCACGGTGATCTGGACTTCTTTTTCAACGGCTGGGATGACCGTGGTCGGGTTGAGAAGATCAACACAAGGAAATGTCCCATCTATTTCCTCACCGGTGAGTATGATTGGAGTAATACTCTGGAAATAAGCGAAGCTACAGCACAAAAGATTCCCGGTGCGAAGTTGAAGCGAATGCCGGAAATCGCAACTCTAACGTTTCAATTCCTTCCTCTTCGCGGAGGACGTGTTCACCACAGATTGCAGCCAGGTTTGCGTCTCTGTTACCGACATGGGAGGCAATGTCGGCACTGCAGCATAACTGACTGCCACGTTTGGTAGAGTGGGTCGTATTCACCGAGCAATCATTATCGCCTTCTTTAAATCAATCTATCTAAATCTGTCGATCCCAGCTATCATTGTATCAATCTTTCTGTTAGTTAGTTATCATGATGCCTGCTTAGTCAACCCCCGCGCGGTCCCATCACGGGATACAACGTAACTGATAAACGAGGTCAGTTAGTGTGGGGGAGAGGGGAAGTTGCACCTGGACTTATCAGTGAGTGAGATCACGGAACACGTTTAGTGCGGGGGCTGGACCCCATAATCTGCATGCAACGGTATGAAGGGACATTGTTGATCCTGTCAGTCACCCCTTGATTTGGTCCCATAAATAGCGAACAGAGCCCCTGGTTTGGGTACCGGACTCACACCCCGCAGAACACACAATTTCCTCAACTTATACCCAAATTCTGGCCTCCAACATCGCAGCACCACCCAACATGTATTCCCCTACAGTCGGCACCCGGGTCGAGGATCTCGACACACCATCCATGATCGTGGATCTCGACCTCGCCGAAGCCAACCTCAAGAAACTCATGGGCCAACTTCTTCCCACGGGCCTAAACATTCGCCCGCACCTGAAAACAAGCAAGAGCGCCATAGTGGCCAAGAAGATGGCCCAGGCGGGTGCAAAAGGAGGCTGCGTCGCGAAAGTGAGCGAAGCAGAAGCGATTGCCGCGGCCGGGTTCGACGACCTCCTAATCACCTGCGAGATAGTCGGTGCGGCGAAGGTGAAGAGGCTGGTGGAGTTGTTTCGCAAGCACCGATCAATTCGCATCGTGGTGGATAGCGAAGTCGGCGCGACCGCGATCAACGAAGCCTTGGCGAGTTCGGCCATCGACGACCCCATCATGGTGCTTATCGATTTGGACGTCGGACTGCACCGGACGGGCGTGAAGCCGGGAGATGCGGCTCTGGCTCTGGCGCGACATGTGAGCGGCTTGAAACATTTGAACCTGATCGGCGTGCAAGGTTATGAAGGGCATCTGCAGCATTTGCACGACAAGGAGGATCGGAAAACGCAGTGTCTCGAATCAATGGCTATTCTGACTAGCACGGCGGACGCGCTACGCAAGGCAGGTCATAATATCGAGGTGGTCACGACCGGTGGAACAGGTACGGCTGAGTTCTGCGCCACCGTGCAGGGCGTGACGGAGTTACAGCCAGGGTCGTTCATCTTCATGGATACGGATTACCGAAACGCCGTAGGGCGATTTTACTCGAACAGTCTGACCATTCTCTCGACCGTCGTCAGCAAACAGGGACCACGGGCTGTGACGATTGATAGCGGGCTGAAGTCATTGACCACGGATAGCGGATTGGCGGAGTGCAAAGATCCTCGGTATGAGTATGGGGTTTTGGGTGATGAGCATGGCTCCTTGACCTGGGAGGTTGGCACGCCAGATCTTTTGGTGGGAGACCGTGTGGAAATGGTCCCAAGCCATATCGATCCGACGGTGAATCTGCATGATTTTTATTACGTCCATCGCGGTGGCGTGGTTGTGGAAATTTGGCCGGTCGATTCGAGAGGAAAGGTTCAATAGTGCGCTTGCAAGACAGTGAGACATTCTTGGTCTTGAACATTCCTTGTCATTGTGTCATAGAAAGGTCAAAACGACCACGGTTTCTTGATCTGATAGACATTCGAGAAGCGCCTACATATAGATAACCTATAAGCTGCCTCGGTCGCGTAGTTGCCAGCGAAACAGTTCTTTATAAACCTGTCACACACCACGGGATAAATCGGGTTGGACTGCTTTGACCGCGCTGCGAGTCTCTACGCCGCTATTTCAGTTGAAGTAGCAAGGATGGCTTACGTACAGCAAACAACAGTGTAACGTTTCCCCGGCAGCCGTGAAAGGGTCTCCCAAACAACAATCATATGCTGCTTTAGATTCCGCTCATGCATTGTTGGTTTCCTCATTGCTATCATGGTTCGCAACTTTGCTTCGCGGTTAGCCAAGCAAAAAAGAATGTCGACATCCATAGAAGACATACTCGTCGGAGGAAAGTACTCCGATGTGAAGATAATATGTCGAAAGAACGTTATAAAAGCTCATCGTGCCATCATATGTTGGAGTGATGGTATGGCTTGCGGCGCTAGGCTGCACGTAGTTAGTCAGTCAGCTGACCCACACTGGGCTGCTGCATCTCTAGAACCTCTGCAGCTGTAGTATGAGAAACGTGGTTGCAGATGACCTGAGGTCAACTTTTCAGAAAGTAGTTGGGTTCGACGCGCTAAAAGCTGGCATCGACGCACTAGTCTGCCTCAGGCATGAAGGCGGGTAGAATTTGGCCCGTGCCCCAAATTCCACGTTGAATTTACGCCTGTATTTATCTTACCGCTTTTTTGTTTTCAATACCTTTACCATTAAATCTAAGTACTTCGTTCTGAAGGATAAAAGGGAGCCTACAAAGGAGTGAAACAACCCTTAACTAATTAAAGTAAGGTACTTATAAAGTACTTCAAAAGCACTTAATAAGTAGTTAAATAGGTAATTCTACTAGGTCAATAGCACATTTGACAGGTTGGTAGAGATGCATAGAGAATATACGGTCGACTATATATATTTTGACTACTGAAACCTGTAGTCGATAACTGCTTCTTAAGTACTTGAGAAGTGATTGGAGTTTCAAACTACTTTTCATTTTCTAACTCTAACTCGCGTAATTCTCGCTCTTTCTTTCTAATTTCAATCTGCTTCGCAAGTAATTCAGCTTTAATACTTTGAATCTTTAACTCCTCTTCTAATTTCTGAAGCTCAGTATTCTGAGATTGGTCGCGTAAATTAGCTGTAGCAACTCTTTGAAGACTGGCTTGAAAGGTACTAGAAAAGTAGGGGTAAGTACTTAATAGGTAGTTGCTAAGCACTTAATAAGAATCGTACCTTGATCTTGCCCGGGAACTGCCTCGCTGGCTTTGACTGCCTCTCCGACTACCTCTTTGACTTGGAGTTCTTTGTAGCGGCCTTCCACTGCTGGAAGATGGAAAGAATATATAATCTTGATCATGAATATTCTCAGAAGAATTAGATTCATCCTCTTGCCGAGCTAGTTCTATAGAAGATTTCTATATAAGTACTTGCAAACTGCTTTATAAGTGATTGATAAGTACTTAAAGTAAAGACGTACCAGACCGAGCCATATTATTAAGAAACCTAGTTTCGAGGGTTTGAGTTGCATATCGACGCCGAAGACCGTAGGAGATATAAGCTCGATTCTGTTGAATGTCTTGTATATCTAGCTTCTATGACCTATGCATATATTGTAAGCAGTTAGCAAGCACTTAAAAAATATTAGATAGCTTGTTGAAAACTGACTCCAGAATTGCTTGTAATAGTGTCAAGTGCTTTCCACAGCGATTAGACTTATTATGTGTTTGTTCAACAGTATTTGTACTCTTCCGAATTAGATCAAAAATATAATAGGGAATAAGAGAGCAATGCTTGTTAAGTCCTGCTGCAATAACTGCGCTCTTCTTATGTCGAGCCCAATTTTGAACTGCAGGATGCTCATACTCTAAGAATAATTAGCAAGTACTTATAGAGCACTTATAAACCAGTTAGAAATTACTGTCGGTTGACTTGGTCATTGCCCTAAGCAGATATCCTATCGATTCAACTGAATGTAGGTATATGCTCGGTGGGTAAAAGTGAAGTGTCATTCTAAACTACAATCTGCCTAGCTATTTATAGTCCCACTGGTTTACACCTATGCATTCCTGATCCCTTGGTATGCCATTTGGAATGGTAGGCCAAGTCTAGGCCAAGCAAGGTGCTGTGCGGTATGTGGATTAGGTCAAGATACTCCACTTCTCTGGTCTGGTTGATAACATCGTTCCAACACTTCCCCATGGGAAAATTCCTTGACTACGAGTCATAAACAAACTTGTCTTATATCAAGCTCCTTTGTAGACCGTCACAGGCGAAACAAAACAGCCAACACCCAGTACATTTCGGCCAATGCAAGACTAGTGTTTGTGTGTCAGCCAAATTAAACGAAGACTATGTACCAGAAGTCCGAAACCCTTGAGAAGGAGGTTCAAAGGAAGATCTCTTACTTCATAATAATACACATTCTCGAACCCCGGGCGAAAGGAACCCAGTTCCGATTCATGTTGGGGTAATAACTGTCTTTCATCTACCGCTCGGGAAGGGACCTGGACGGCTCAGGGAATGTCTCTAAATCGGAGTGAAAGCTATGCGAGGATATGCCCACTGGGGTACCGGCGGGGATTGTCCATTCCCTATACTACAGCGCTTGATCGGGCGAGACGCGGGCGAGATAATGCATGATCTCATAACTTAGTCTAGGGAAACAAAACACTTCGTATTAGCTATTTAATTCCGGTCTGAAAAGAGGAGTTCGCAGGGGACTGTACCTCAAGCCCTCTTTTACGGTCCCGTGCAAGTACGGTAATCTCTCCAATTCCTGCCAAGTGGGTCTCTTCGCAGGATACTCTGCCATGATTTCCTTCAGTTCCTCTCGGAGGCGATCTCGCATCTGCGGGTTGGACAGAACGTAATAGAAAATCATACTGAAGGCGCGGACTAACGTGGCTGTACCCGCGCCGAACAGCTGCAAGGCCTCGCGGGCAAGCTGTTCGGTCCCGCACTCCGACTCAGGCATATCGCTGGAGAGCACGTGGCGGAATACGGAGTTTTGACCGGCCTTTTTCTGAGCCTTTTCGACATGAACCATGTCCTTTTTGGCCTCGGTGATGTGGTCGAACGCGTACTAGTCTATGTTGTGATCCATATAAAGTACCCATATCTGGTAATATGACGAAAATCGCAAGAATTACTCCATTAGAAAGTCTTCCGAGATTATTTTAAAGGTCTAACTTCCGCCAGCATGTGCAAAAATAAGTAGTATACGTGATAGTTAACTAATCCGCCGCGCTATGTAATGTTAGGTATAGGCGTAAGCCCTGTATTGCGTTCACGGGTTGAAATGTAGTACCCCGCATTACCAAACTTCATACCCCACCTCAAAAATGCCAGGTGATCTGGCACATTTTGCCCGCCCTGAGAGTGGCTCTTTGCTCTGAAATATCCACCTCGTTGCTCTGAGCTACGCAAGAAATATCGTCAAAGCTTCGAAACATGTAGACCCTATAAGGAGCGTCTGTCAACATTACAAAGCTTACTACAAGCATCCTCGATAGGTCCAAAAATATCAAAGATTGATGCGATCTTTACACTTGACTTCTAGCAGTCAGCGTATAGTGATGAGCTCACGCAGTACCTTAAAAGTGGTAAGTGATATATACAATTGTCGGTTGACTTGGTCATTGCCCTAAGCAGATATCCTATCGATTCAACGGAATGTACAGTAGGTATATGCTCGGTGGGTAAAAGTGAAGACTTATTTTAAACTACTCGCTTCGTGAAAGATATAATAGCTACCCATGCCAAGGAGTCATATAACTTAGGCATGTCAGCTGAGTAATGATTCCAACACCCACCGACCATCCAAGCTTTCATTAACCAAGAACCAAATCACTTGGTATGGTAAACCTTCGGTTCTGTTGACGCTGAAAACCCTCATTACTATAACTATCCACTGTCGCATACAATGAGAAGAGCAACAAACCACGGCAAATACTAGCTGGCGCACAGGCGCCATCAGCCCGGACCCAAGTCACATTGTCCACGCAGGTGCAGAGGACCTCGCCGAGCTCATCGGTAATATAAGAGGTGACGAAGTGGCCGCAGTTCCAGTACGCTGTGCGGATGCACATATTTCCGGTTTCGAGGGAAGTGAGAGCTCTGGGGTGTTGAGAGAGAGTATTTCTTGATAGGTAGTTAAGAATAGGGTTTAAAGGAAGTAGTGCTAATGAATACTTTGGGCTGTCTTAGGAAAGGAGGGGTTGTGAGGGTTAAATCGCTGGGAAACGCGATGGGTGCTGCTTTATATAGACTTCCTAGAGATTGAATGAACGGGTGAGGCTACCAGTCTTAGGCTACGGAGGTGGGGGGATCATTCCTCTTGTGTTGTCAAGTTCAAGGCCTTCAGCCTTTTATTTGAGGAGAATGGTTATTAAACGTCCAATATTATTATCAGGGCAAGAGACTGAAGCCGCTTGTTCCGGCGGAAAAGGTATTCTTCGTCCAGTGTTGCAAGCAAAACAATCTTTCAGCCTTTCGTGCCCAAAGAAACGTTATTATTTATCTGGTGTTGTCAAGGCAAATGCGTTGATCCTTGTCTGCCGAGAAATTATTCTGCTGACGCCAGATCATGTGTCTGGGTGCTTCGGCTCTATCGTGTTGTTAGACGTTAGATACCATAGAAGTGTACTGAGGCTGGCCTAGCATATCTCGTATCTACCCTACTGATGATAGTTTAATGACCCTGGTTCTATTAATCTTGAATCAGGGCACCTTTGTTTAGTTTGTAGCGCTGTCCGTCTGTAGGTCCTCAAGTCCAAAAAAGTCTGATTTTCTCATTACTGGTGGGTGGGGGGCGGAGGAAGTTCAACCCCGCTTCAGAGCATTGGCTGCACTATATTTGCCAACGAAGCAAGAAAGTCTCATAGCCCAAGTATAGGATCCAATTAGAACTGTGCCGCAGCAAGATCCTCTGCGGGCGATAGCTGATTCGTAGGCACCCACCTTCCCCGACCTTTTACACTCCGGCGAGTGGTCTGCACCTCGTTCAGCACATAGATTGCAGCTCCTCGACAATCCACTGGCTGACCCTTCTTGGTGGAGATCGTTCTTTGCGCCAGTCGTACTTGACTATTATACAATTCCCAGGCCCCCACGTACTCCAGCATGTTAAGAATGGTAAGCTGGTAACATGACCGAGAGGTCCCTATCTCGAGTAGTTATACTCATATCGAACCATCGGACCATGTATTGCTCGTAGATAAAGAATCTGTCAGCGAATATGGGGCAATTTTACCGCCAGGATTCAACACCTTGCCGTTTCCGTCTAGATCAACTCTGACGGCATTTCATGGCTTCAAGATAAGCCGATTTCAAAGAAGCCACGTAGTCATATTGCATGTTAAATAGCTTCGTTTCGATCCTCTAGATCAAGAGGATCAGACCTTCATTGAGCCTCGATTCTGCATACAAATTACTAGGCAATACGAAACCTTATTGTTCCAATAGAAATCTACCGCTCTGTTTGCAATTATTTAGAGCCACCAGGGCAGGATGTCGAGCAGCTATTCCTTTCGCGCCTCGTGTTGGAGGGCTTCGGAAAAGAACTCAGGAGGCCTATAAGCAGTAAACAAGATTTGGAAAGCTATGAGCGATTTGGTGTAGAAAATCATGTTTGTGACATTATTGCAGCTCTCTGCGAGAAACCTGCCGCTCGAGATAAGTTCTACTTGAGTGACAGAGTTAGTTTTGACAATCACGCAAACGCTCTTGATCCTCCTCAAGTTGACCCATTATAACCGAGAGAATCGTCGACCTCGCGGCATTCCAGACCTGATCAATTTTGTATATGCCGTGGCACTTCAGAAACCATCCTTACAACGGTTGAGTACAAACTACCTCACAAACTAAGCGTCAAAAATATTCGCTCCGGATTGCGATCGATGGATTTCTGGAAAGAGGTAGTGGCGCCCGATTCAGTCCCTACGCAAAAACCCGAGAAATTGAGATACAATGCAGCCCGGCTCACGGGCTCGGCACTAGTCCAAGAATTCTATGTGATGATTCAGGAAGGGCTCGAATACTCCTATTTAACGAATGGTTTGGCGGTAGTTCTGCTGCGAGTCCCGTACAATGACCCGACTACTTTATACTACTACCTCTGCGAACCCAACATAGAAGTGAACCCCGAGGATGATCAGAGCTTTCGGCAGCCGGTAACAAGTATTGCCCGTGTACTGTACCTCTGTCTCATGAGCTTTGGTTTGAGGTTACGTGAGCAGGAGTGGCAGAATAATGCAAGACCGCTGCTTCCAGAATGGAAAACGAGTTTGATTACGAACGTTCCGAAATTCCAGATGCAGAGTTACGACAGGTCCCTCCAGATGCACAATATACTCCGTCGGTATATACAAGTTCCGACCGTACCATTTCAGAGTTTGTACCGTCTTCACCTACTGAATCCCCCACAGAGGGGCGTCGACCGCCAACTCGGTCTCGGACACAGTGTGCACCTTTAGATCTAATCTTTCGCAATGACCCTTCCGATTCTGATGAGGGTCTAGCGCTCAGGGGGCAGAAGCGTCGTTTCAGTCGGGTCACCTCGTCTCCGTTATCCCCATCTGTGCAACGGTCGGCACGCCAGACAGGCTCCGAATATATTCCGAGCGACCAAAAACAATACCATAAGGCACAGTTTTGTACCTAACGGTGTCTACTTGGCCTGCAACACGGGGGATTGCTAGATGAGCACTGCTCGAATGTAACACTTTACCGCAAGGGGGGAAGCGGCAGTCGACATCTCATCAAAGCCGAGACATTGGTTCAATTGATTATACAGCAGCTGGATAAGAATATTGACGATTGTACACCAATGGGGGGGTGTGGAGCATCGGGGGCGCCGTTCAAGATCACCTGCGCAGAATATGGCTACACTATCGTCGGCAAAGGAACTACTTCTTATCTCTGGGACGAGGTATCACGGGAAGCAGACATCTATCGTATCCTTTCGCGAGTGCAGGGCTTGGTGGTTCCGGTATTTCTCGGAGCGATCGACTTGGCTAAAATTTATTTTCTGCATGGAGCCGGAGAGATTCGACACATGCTACTTATGGCGTGGGCAGGAAAGCCGATCAGTAAAGTTGAAGCAACGAGCCCTGAGATCTCTAGCTCGATCTCGAGATCTATAAAGGAGATTCGCTCATTGGGAATATCACATCAGGACCTTCGGCTGGAGAATTTTCTGTGGAACGACGAACTACACCGGGCTCTGATTATTGACTTCCATTGTTCGGTGTTGGACCGTCAACTGATCAATAAGCGGATGAAGCTACATAGGAAGATCTCATACGGAGCAGATACACGTAAGCGAAAGCGACCTCGTCTATTCTGATAGATAAGGGCAATAGCATTCTATAGTCATTATAGCAAATTTTGTCGATGTAACAGGGCTGCAAATACGTTGGGCTCATTCCCGAAAATGGTTCTAGGTTAAACTGCGCTTTTGGTTTTGCTGGCTTCTGTGCCAATAATGTATGTAGAGTTAGTATCACTCACCAATTACCTCTTTTTCCGAAAACGAACTATTCTTAGAAGCACTAATAGGAAGCAAAGCAAATCGCAAATGTGTCCTTTAACCCAATAATGGGCCATTCTCAAAACACGACCATTTGCCCGTGAGCCTGTGAGATTGAGCGAGTTTTAGGAACAGGCTCCTAGCAACGAACTTGCGCCGACAGTCATCGGCCGAGTCCACGGCATCGTTTCTTTGATTGACCAGATGGGAAATATGTAGCTGTGCAAGGGCCTCAAAGTAGGAGGATGCCGTGTCGAATGTTGTGAACGGTAATTTCGATCGAGGCAGAGATCCCAATCGGATGAGTTCATTCATTGGCATCGACAGAGGTCGCAGCGTGACTTCCCACGTGAAGTCATCTTTTTGATCCAAACACCCTATGTGAGGCATGAAAAGCACAGAAAGTTGAAGAAGAACACTTGCAAGTTCTCCGTAGAGGGCATCCAGCCCAACCTCGCTAAGATTGGGGTCGAGGACTCCACGCACTGCTGTCGGGCAGTCGGGCGTGTTGAGAGCATCGTACATGGTCGTGTGGTGGTCAATATATTCCATAATCACAAATGGGCTCAGATTCAAAGGACTCTCCGATTTAGCGCCCCAGTGGAGAACGAAAGGAACTCTGATCGTAGTTCAATCCTGGAGATACCGCATAATAGCGACCTCGTTGCGAACCTTTTCTTCCGGAAACATAGCAGCGCCAGGTTGGGGAAATCGGATCACGGCAGAGCAGCCGTTTTCGTACTCCATCCGCAGAGAAATGTTGAAGGCGCCCTTCTCTAGAATGGTAAACTCCTCCGGGTCATGGGGACTGTGGTGGCGGACCAGAAAGCCCCCGACCGGCCTCAAGATTTCGGGCTCGAGGAATTGGCGTACCCAGGCATCGGCGACCTCGCTTTTTTCCCAGGCAGCATCGTCGTAATACATCCGTGGCTGCATGACCGACAGCGTCCTTCAAAAGCAAACCCAACTTCCAAGAGGGGTACACAGTTCTCAACACTCTGGGGAGGAGCGTTTGGGGATTTTAAAGGGGCGACATGGGCAGACGGCCCCGGGACGTTCACGAGACGGCGTGTTGGAACCCCAAGTCCCCTTCTAAGGCCTGGAACACATGCGACCGAAACAATCGCCAAGGGTTTGGCAAGAAGCGTTAATGTAACTAGTCATGGCAATGGCCTGTCAGACGTGGAGAGTGATGATTTTCATGAAGGACATGCTTCTGTATAGCCGCCAATTAGATGATTGAATATCGAAAAGCAGCTAGTTCGTGATAGGGGGTATTCGTCGGAATAGGGATATACAGCAATGATTGGATATTTCATTTCCTTGGCTCAATAAGCGCCGTAGTTTACTATAGTTCTGTCAACGTGAGAAAGTCCTAGATATTGCACTTTGAGCATAACTAGGGGTTATAACATCTTTTTGTGGCTTAATAGGCATCTCTAGTTTTCAACAAGTTCTATGCCAATAGTCGATATCTTGAGGCGTTAATAGTACCCAGCCAAAAGGAGGGGTTGCGGGCGCCTAGGCTAGGGCACTCTGTCCCCGTTGGTAGCTATAGTTAGTGTCCTTTACACGTGCATATTTGGTCGTATCAATAGGCTCAAACACCCTCCAATTACCTGCTAGTACATTGTGCGCTAGATAAAGACCATATGCGTATCTTGAAACTAGACTCGAGGTGGGATACTATCGGCCTTTCTACTAGTACCTAGTAGATATTGATGTGCTCAACCACCTCAATTTTGAATTCTCGGCATACTGAATAGCTCCTTGTCTATAACTAGGAGGCTTGAGAGACACTCGGAGCTATAGTGGAATGAGCGGCTTGTGAATATAACAATAGTTCCGTACTTGATCGCTAGACCCAACAATGGAATCATCGCCGGCAGTGACTGATTGAACCTTATGTATCGTATACTACCGGACTTCTTGCTGATGACTCTACTTTCAGATAGTGGTGGAAGAGCAGCCCTTTGATCCTTCCTCAAAAAGCTGTAGTCATGTATTGGAGAATCATCATCGCCTTGCGAATATCTTAAATCAGCGTTTTAATAGTGTTGCTTTTAGTTCATAATGGAAGTAAAGTGGAAGATGAACTTATATGTGGAAATACTCCGCAGGTGTGATGCACGTACTGAGTGATAAAGTCACTCCCAGCTGGGAAGGCCTGCAGTGGCCAGTTCGATGATTATTGATTGAATCTAAATATCTCATTGAAAAAGAAAGAGAAAGAAGTCAGTCAAACCGCCATGAAGAAAGGCAGACCTGGCCATACAAAGGTATTATAGCCCCATGTCCCCTCTCTTGACCGAGCGGCTGCTTTCAGAAAGCAATATAAACGTATTATGTAGTAGACCCATACATGAAGCAAAGATTTGGGCAATATTTGTCAATTCACGGAATATAGTCTACCCAATAACCTCCGATCCTGCCCCGCCTGCGTTCATACGGCGGCTTCTCTCCTATGAGTGCCAACCACCGCGACTGGTAATCAACCCGTGGGACCCGTGCCCGCTCCTCTGGGTCTCTAGGTAGCCCAGCGAGGGACTGCCCATCCGGGGTTGGTATCACTTCGCCATAATTCCGGGGTGGTCCTTCAAACAGCCCAATGCGATGCATGCGCCACGCATCCCAGATGACCAGCCCCAGCCGTCGCCATTGCTTAAAGTTCACAAAGCTGTAGGAGAATGGTTCGCGCTGGTGACTGGCAACTACGCTTGCATGCACAAAAGTCCTGTCATGTTGCGGTAACCATTGACGGGACTCTGCGTCAAGGGACCAGGCTTTTATTGCTTCGGTGTCTGGCGGAGGAGATGGCAAAGTCCATATTAGCGGCGACCGGGTAATATCCCGCCCTGAAGGCAGATCGAACGAATGGAAGATTGGTAGCGGTGTCTCATCTGGGAAGGTCCAAGCTGCCCGCGAGGACTCTTCGCCCTCTGGGTCCTGAGCTAGGAATCTCTGTTGGCGCTGGAATGAATAATGCCCGTATATTGCACGTAGGCCGAGATCGGAAAGCAGGGCGGCGGTAGTCCACATTTTTTCGGCTCTCCGGAAATCTTTGTCATTCCACTCGTTGTACGCATCTAAACCACGCATTGATGTTTCGTCCCAGGCCCAACGCTCTGTTGCTGCTTTGCGGAGGGAGGAATAGTGCTGGAGGTGCCACAGAGAGGAGTATACGCGGTATTCCTCCGTATAAGAAAAGGGCTCGCGGGCGACCTTTACGCGATCAGAGGCTGAGATACCACCAGCATGAGTTCCGGTGAGAGCCGAGACAAAGTTTTGCTGAATCAGGATGAGACAAGCGCAAGCTAGCCGCTGGGTTCGCGCAGTCAGATGAAGTGTGAAGCTTGCGAGCTCTTCCGTATACTCAAAAGGCGGCGGGCTCTGGCATATCCTTCGATAATCGACTAGGCTTGGAAACTCAACTGACAGCGTCTGGATTAGGCTGATATTGTGGCACATAGTTTGGATCTCTGGGAGGCCTGCAATCGGGTCACCCGATACCAGGTCGCGGACAATGGTAGGCTGAGCTCGAAAGACAGCATTCACGCGAGGCGATGCGGAAATGATGCTTTCAACAGCCGAAAAATCCGCGGCATAGATGAGAATGCGTGCCAGGAGCTCAGGGGGTAGTTTGGTGAAGGGGTCCATGGTTGGAAAGGTGGCAGGACCGGAGCGGGATTGGAAGGAGACAGGGCCATTTATTTCTTTGGGTTAGTTCGTGAATTATGTAATAAAACAAATTAATTTATCAAAGGTACCTGCCTACTCTGGTGTAGTACCGGATGGAGCCTTCTAGCCAAACTCAGAAACCATTCTTGCTGTTACAATATACATCAGATACCCGTGTACTCGACAATATGAAACAGCATGTGAATCCCCGTCGGACGCTTGCTCGGGGTTGCAGCCGTGGACGAGGCCGAACACGGGGTCTCCAACCCGGAAGGACTTCTTCACTGCTGGACCGATGGCCTCGACAATCCCCGCGTAGTCGCAGCCAATTGTCACCCCGGGCTGGCTTCGGAGCGCGTTTTTCCAGTCAGTCGGGTTCAGGGCAACGCTGGCGACTTTCACGAGGATGCTGTCATCCCGGAGGGTAGGCATCGGGCGGTCGTTTTCAACCGCCAGGGTGGCCGGCGCACTGACAACGATTGCTTGCACCATAGTGACTGGTTGGATGAAGAGCGAAGGGGAGGACAAGTTCAATGGAGTTGGGAGAGAAAGGAAAGCAACAGACACTTCTTTCCGACTTGCAGTCCAAGGGATAGAGGAAGAGATATTTATCATGTCTACATACCCAACCCAGACTTTCCAAGGCTGAGACAGACAAAGAAAGTCGCTCTACCCCAGCACCAAGTAAGCACTAACGTTTCTAGCTCAATGTATTATCAACACTAGTGAGGAGACTAGTAATGTTGGACCGTCCAGCCCATACTTAGGTAGCTAATGCAAAAAGAACATTACACTATCAATCAATCAATCAATCAATCAATCAAAATTCTATTAACCTGGTGGAGCCTATCTATTGAAACGACAGGCTATGCAGGCGCTTGGCCGAATGAAGCAGAATCTCGAGTCCTTACGCCATAGAAACCCACAAACGCAGTAGATAAATCATAAAGTAACGCAACTACACCGGCTGCCACTCGCCTGCTGCAGCCCATTACGTCTCCTGACGCTGTCTCTCCTTCTGCCTCGTTCTATATAGGTGATTCATGAGTGGTATGCGTCACTGGTAGCGGCCTGACCCAGGCCGCCCCCTAAAGTTCCATGTAACCATCGTCTTCCTCGCCTAGTTCGAGTCCTTCTAGCAGGTTGGTAGGTTCTGGAGCCTCCTCGTCGTCCTCCTCGTCCAGTTGAGCGAATCGGAATTGTTGGAGGAGGCCTGTTTGATGCATAAATTGGGCGACGTAGCGGATCGCCTGTGGGTGTGCCATAACTGCATCGTAATCCTGTGTACGCCCACGCAGTCCCTCTATCTGATTGAGGTGATCCATCATTATCCTCCGGCCGGCCGTATGCGGCGAGCACTCCAGAAGGACGTGCCTAGGGGTCTGGAACCCTAGGTCACAGGCGCACCGGTCGGAGTCGACCTGTTTAATCTTGTAGAGGAAGTGCCTTAATCCTATCCTCATAGTGCGCATCTGAATAATGATCGAGATGTGCAGCTTGCTGAGATGCTCGTAGAGCCGTAGGTTCGTCTTGTCTGGCTTAGGTAGTAGCCGCCTCGTCGGCCTGCCTATTTTCTGCCTTTCCCACTGTTTTGCCCACTCCGTACGTAAACGTTGGCGAATATCTCTTTTAGCTGTAGCTGCGAGCCGTATAATCGGTCGATCCCGCGGCCTCATTAAGCTTGATTCAAGTCCTCTTATCGCAGCCTCCTTGGCTGCCTTGTCCGCCTTTTCGTTTACTTTTACCCCGATGTGAGCGGGGATCCAACGCAGTTCAGCATCCTTCAGGCCCTCGCTCCGCAGGGCCCTGATCCTCCCGTAGATAGCCTGCAGTGCGTACTGGCCCGATAGCCGGCCAGGGTTGCGCACGGCTTGAATAGCTGCCTGGCTATCTGAGAAGACCGTAACCGGAATAGGCTTCGCCCGATCCAGGGCCATCCGGGCCCCTTCTAACTCCCCCACATAGACTGTAGAATCCAGTTCCGTTCCTAGGTGCTTCCTGGCGGTCCTTCCTGCTCGAATAGAGACTGCGGCAGCTCTGATCATCCCCTGGTAGCCGTTTCCGTCTGTATACCAGATCTGCCGGTCCTCGCGGCAGACCCTATCGTGGGTCTGAACTGCCTCCTCTGCCCCCTCAATGATGCACCTCAGGGGCAACTCCCACGGGGCCAATACATGAGCCCGTCTGGTCTCCCACTCCTCTTGCCTGTCGCCGTGTGCATATAGTGGGCCTGTTTTCTTCCACTTCAGCGCCTCCATCGGAGAGTATCCGGAGGCCTTAAATGCTTCTTTCGACCTTTTCCAGCGCAGCCCCCGGGGGCAGGCTGTGGCGGGCCCGGTTTGGATCCGAATAGTTGCCTCCTGAATATTTTGTTGCATCTGTATTCGCATAGGGGGGAGATAAAGCTCCATCCCCAGCGCGGCGGAGGCCGTATTACGAAACGCGCCACTGATAAGAACAGCTGCGCGGGTTTGAATCCTCTGGAATTCATTGACTGTCTTCTGGAGCTTCTTGGAACTGACCGTCCGGCTCGTAGGGCTATACCATGCAGCCGCCCCGTAGAGTAGCTGGGGGACTACCACTGCCAAGTAAATGCGGCGCATGCTCAGCAGGGAGGTCCCCCAGGTCGAGCCTGAGATGCTGCGGAGGGCTTCCAAGGTCCCGTTCGCCTTAGCGAGGGCCTTGGCCCTGTGAGTGTCAAACGAAAGGGTCCTATCGAGCCAGATTCCTAAGTATTTGGCTTGCTCCACTGGCTTGATGATAAAGCCGGTTGCATGGTCCTTGATGGGCAGCTGGTCGTGACCAGGGGGTTCCACTGGGGGATCCCAGTTGTCAACCTCTGGGTCCTCCCCCTGCCACGGGCCAGTATATATATATTCCTGCGATACGGGTCGTTCTACCGCAGGATCAGGGCGAAACGGATTCTTGAAATGAATGAGTTCGAACTTATCGGGGGCGAATTTGGACGAATGCTGCCTTGACCATACCGCGGCCTTACCCAGGGCCCTCTCTAGAAGGCGCTGGTTGACCGCGTAGCTATCCGAGATGGCCAGGGTGGCAACATCGTCAATCCACCCGTAGGAAACCGTCTTGCCTCCCTCTAGAAGGGGTGGCTGAATCCGAAGGGCCTCAATACCGTCGATCGATAGGGCGCGAATGAGGGGGGTATTAAATAGGAGGAATAGGATCGGCGATATAGGGGACCCCTGTGGGATCCCGGTAGGGGTTAAAATAAGGTTGCTGAGATATCCGGGGAGCTGCAGCCTTGTAGAACGGCTCGATAAGAAGGATTTGAGCCATCCGGCGAAGAAGCCGAGCCCCATCATACGTAGATTGTGGAGGAGCCGTATATGCGAGACGTTATCGAATGCGCCAGCTACATCTAGAAGCAATATACTGACTTTCCGGCCCTTGCCCCAGCTCTCAAAGATCTGGTCAAGGAGCAACTGGATCAGGTGGTCGACTGAGATGCCCCTGCGGCCCCCTAGATGGCTCCTAGGTAGGAGATTACGCTCTTCCAGGGCCCAGGCGATCCGTACTGTAGCTACGGCCTCCAGGATCTTACCAAGGGTATTCAGGAGCGCTATAGGTCGGTAGGATTTGGCGAGGCGATAGTCCCGAGGGGCTGCTTTACGCAGTACTACAGTAGTCGATTGCTGAAAGTATTCCGGGTTGTGCCCAAGACGTAGGCACGCGTTAAATATCTGCGTTAGTACAGTGAGGAAAGAGGAGACCTCACCCAGCCAGTGCCAGACCTTGTTAGGGATACTATCCGGCCCTGGTGCTTTATCGGGAGGCGCCCGCCTGATACAGCGGAGCACCTCGTGCTCGGTAAGGTCCGGGAAATCGATCTGGGGGGGATATCCGGGCCGTGGGGATGTCGGAGAGATCGGCCGGGGGTAGTTCAGGAAAGAAAACTTTGCAAAACGCCTCTACTTTCTGTTCTGCGGTCTCTGCGAGCCCGTCATCCGTCTTTAGCGTCAGTATAAGGCCTTCGCGGGCCTCTTTGTTCCTCGCCCACTTAGCCGCCCTCCACATGCCTTGAGGGCCTGATTCGGTAGCCTTGCGGATCCAGGAACGGTAGCCCTGGCGCAGTGCCTTAGCCAATACCTTTCCTTTGCGGTTTCTGACTTTGGTGTAGCGCTCCCACCGGAGGCCCGTAGTAGGGTCGGTAGGGCCGTTCATAATAACTGATTCCGTGTACTCACGCCGAAATTTCCGGGTGATCTTGACCATTTCGCGGCATTCCACATTGAATGAAGGGTTCGCCCATTTGCTGGGCTTCGCCCACGGGGTAGAGGCGGCAATTCCTTGGTTGATCGTCTCGATAAGGTATTCTATAGCGAGCTCAATATGCTGCTTCGTTTGTAAGGGAAAGGCCTTGCTCTGTAGGTTGAGGTCCACGAAGCTCTGCAGGTCCTTGACGCTGCAGGCTTTCCAGTTCCTTCGTCGCTGTGCCTCAGGGGTTTTAGTGCTGATATCCAGAAGGGTTCGTATGGGATAGTGATCCGAATCTGCGTGAACTCGTTCGTTGACTTCGCAGGCAACGAGTCTAGGGGTCAGGTCCTGTGAGCCGAGGACCAGATCGATAGTGATTCTGCTTCCGTTCCGCTCCCACGTAGTAGTGCCTGGCTCTAGCCAGAGGTCCAGGCACCTCGTATCCGTTAGTTCCAGCAACTGGTCGGACGAGGAGTCTCTCTCGGAGCGTTCTCCCCCCCACGCCGGGTGGTGGAGGTTGAAGTCGCCCAACAGGAGCAAACGGGGGTTAGTAGAGCTGTTGGTAGGGCCGGTAGGGGTAATTAGAGAGGTAACGAGGTCGAGAGTAGCGCTATCTGTCTCGTCAGGTCGATTATAGATGTTGAAGATGCGCACTTGTTGGCCGTCAGCATCAGTGAGCTCGAGCTCCTGAACGTCCTTCGAATGCACTGTATGTTTCCAGGTACTAGAATCGATTTGGCGTGATATATAGAGGCACACGCGGGCCCGCTAGTCCCCTACCTCGGTCGAATCCGGGTATAGGAGCTGGTGGGAGCCGTTGGCAGGATGGTGAGTGGTATCCTGGTAGGGGTTCTCCCAAGGTTCTTGCACAAGGATGAGGTCAGCCTCTAGGACCGCAGGATCCCGGAGGAACTGTGCCATCACCTTGTCTTTAGATCGATTCGTATTATATTGGAGGATGTGGAGAGGCCTGATCATGATCGATCAGCCCTAGTGCGTTTCCGTGATACTGAGCGGGCCCTTGTGATAGGAGCCGTAGTAGGTACAGTAGTTAGTACCGGGGATTTCGGGAGGGAGACAGTAGGGGTCTCGCTGGCCGAGGTCGATTGTTCTCGGTATGCTATTCTACTGCGGGATCGTTTCGTGGGTAGTATCTCGCCAGTTAGTGAGTCAACTGGTATAATAGTAAGGTGTGAGACTTCTTGCCGTATTGTGGACTGGGTACGGGCACTCCGGCGCATTCCTTCAGACGAGGTAACGCTCTGCATGCCACTCCTTCGTCTATGGCGACCTCTAGGCATCGGGATCACTGGGGCAGGCATCTCTGGTTCGCTCTGCTGACTGGCTTTTTCCCGGTCAGGTTGCGGAGGTGCATCCACTCCGTCTGCAGCAAAATCCATTCTATTATCTGAGGGTCCACTGGCTGTAGAAATCATTTCTTGCGAGCCGGCGTGCGGCGGCGTAGATCCCGGTTGAAATCGGACTGTTGAGCGATTACGGACGCTCGCAAGTCTGCTAACGGATCTTATACGCCTCTCTGAGAGATTTATGTGCGGCTGGCTGCGTCTCTCGCTGTTAGACGAGCTGGAGGCCTCCGTACCGCTACGTACGGAGAACTGAAAGTCCTGCAGGTAGGGAGGGACCCGGTGCCAGGCCTGCCGGTACACTGCCGCGGCTTGAACCCGGTCCATCTCTGTTGCATACCTCGAGCACCCTTTGTGCCAGGCAGCGTGTGTTTCTCCACACCCTACACAGCGGCGCTCCTGGCTGTTAGTAGACTTGTGAGAGCAGTTCCGGGTCTCGTGACTGCCCCCACAGAGTCCGCAAGTTGTTTTATTCGAACAGACAATTCCTATGTGACCATATTGTTGACAGTTAAAGTACCGTCGGATGCGAGCAGTCCGATCATATAATACTGTCTTATGGATAATGCTGTCCCAAATGGTGCCTCGTGCGATTGTCTCGTTGGCGTGACGGGGATCTAGGAATTCCACGATCAGGACAGACGATTTCTGGTTTTTATGGTTGGACGGGTAAGTGAGCCACGCGATACGCGTAATTCGGGGACTCTGTTGAGCCTCCTTGCTTACCCAGCAGTCCCTGTTTTCCTCGAGTAACTCGTTAGCTACCCGTTGTTGTTCCGTATCGGTAGTAAGGTCTCCAATTGATTTAAGTGCGATCCCATGTACAACGATACCCCAAGAGGGACGCCGTAGCATGGCCCCCGCGCTCAGGTAGTTGACCCATTGATCGTAGGTCCTAGCAGCTTCGGCCTCAGCGGCGTAGCGGAGTGAAAGGTTCAGGTCTCCGGACCTGAGCTGTCTAGCAGCTACAAAACGCGTTTTAGCGAGAGAGAGAGCCCCTGTTTGGCCGCATGCTTTCTGTTTTGCTGTTTCCGCTCTCTGTTTGATATCCGAGGCCGTAAGACGTCGGTAGGTGCGCACTGTACCAGCGTCCTGTAGCTTAACGATAATCTCGCGGTCCTTGCTGAGCTCCGACGGAGTGGCCGGGGCAGTGCTGGAGGAGCCGTGAGAAGAGGTCGTATGGGCCGGGGGAGGCGCGTTGCGGACCACAGAGGCCCAGGACTGGTTGTTCTGTTTCTGTACACTTGATTGAGTGTGATAGGTCTGTTCCTGGACGTTCTGAAGGGTCTGCCGGATGTTGGCCAGCTCGGGGCCGATACGGCAGTTAGCAGTCAGAATATCTACAATTTAGTGTTGCAAGAAATCGCAGGCATCAGCTACCTGTTGTATAAAGCTGACTACCGGTTTAAGGAGCTGTTTCCCATTTGATTCGTTAAATGATAGGTATTGCTGCGCATCTTTGTTAAGGTTCAAAACGCAGTGGAGAAAATTCTGATTGTGCGTGTTTACCGCCTCGGGAATCCCTGAAAGGGCCGGCCACGAGGGTTTCGCCCCAACCATATCGATATCCCCTATAAAGTTAGGTTCTATCGATAGCGGCTGAGGTTGATAGTAAACTGGCTGATTCTAGAGGCCGTAGCCGTTGTGGTGGTTGAGTAATTTTTAAAAATTTGGTTCGCGTCGAAGTTGTTGTTTTTACCGGCTTATCTACTATACCAGATGCGCCAGGGATTACCTCCCTTTCAGGCAGCATTTCAGAGAGTTTCTCTGGCTTATCCGTCATACCAGCAATCAGCTTTTCAGGCGTTGAATCAACCTCTATCGAATCAAGACTTATTCTTTGGAATGGTATCTGTTGGAACGATGTTATCAACCAGACCAGAGAGGTGGAGTATCTTGACCTAATCCACATACCGCACAGCACCTTGCTTGGCCTAGACTTGGCCTACCATTCCAAATGGCATACCAAGGGATCAGGAATGCATAGGTGTAAAGAAGTGGAACTATAAATAGCTAGGCAGATTGTAGTTTAGAATGACACTTTACCTTTACCCACCGAGCATATACCTATATTCAGTTGAATCGATAGGATATCTGCTTAGGGCAATGACCAAGTCAACCGACAGTATCGTAGTATCCATAGAACCCTTTTCCACAGGTTCATTTCTCACGGATTTAATAGGCGTAAGATTCTATACTGAGCAGTAACCGTATTCTCGCTCACGGAATTTAGGGCTAGTGACAAGTGTGACTTCCTGAAATCAGGGAACTTCCTGGATTAACTTCCTGAGCCAACGAACCTCCCGGTATGGAGAAACCTTCCTGGATATAGTCCTGCCTGAGGTTCCGCCTCAGGCAGTACATAGAGGCCCTAGATCCTCGCTCCTAGATAGCCTTTCCTCTCCATGGGAAAATTCCTTGACTACGAGTCATAAACAAACTTGTCTTTTACTGAGCTCCTTTGTAGACCGTCACATAATTTTCCCATCACATAATTTCTATTTTACTTCGAGCAGATACACTAAAGGCATATCACTGAGCGATCAGTAGATATAAAGCCTTGTAATCAGTTTGAAGCCCCTCCGTGAGGCAACTACACGACAACCAAGTTGCACCAAGACCAGAATGAACCCGAGAACCCGCTCTTCGCACCGTGCCTTTGCACGCCAGGGCGAGCCCCAGAACGACCCCCAGGACCTTCAGGACGATCAGTCCTCCGATGTTCAGCCAGAGCAGGAACATGATGAAGGTTTTCCCGATAAAGAACTGTTCCATGATTCGGAACAAGTGATAGATGACATTGATGTCAATCGAATCCCTATGGCCAAAGAAAGGTTCCTAGAGGAGATCAAGAAGAACCCGGAAGTGGTTTACGAGGTTATGAGAGCTATGCATGAGCTCGAAATTAAGGAAACAAATCGCGCCCAGAAAGCTATCCGCATGCTTGAAAATGATATTGCCGAATTGACTGCTGAACGTAACGCTATTGCAGTAAAATGGGCCCTCTCTAGGGATCGAGCTGATTCCTCCGGTAGCCACCGATCTACCAAAATCTCTGACCCACCAATGCTTAACAACGGCGAGGACCCGACCTTCGAAAACTGGCAATTAGCAAATACCAAGTCTTACCTTTCGGCTTGACCAATGGACCCGCAGCGTTCCAACAGCTGATAAATGACATCTTTATTGATCTGAT